ATTCCCTACCAGATTGCTGGTGAGCCTACTGATGAAAAAGTGCAGAATAAGTACAATTTATGTAATAAAAAGTAACATCTTAGATTTATGTAATACTTTATGCTTGATCAACTGCTATGTCTAATATCATTTAATTTGATCACAACAGCTATATATTTTAAGACCTACTTTTTAGTGATAGGAGTAATAAAAAATTTCATAAACTAAAAAATATCAGGAAAAAAACAAATTATTTTAGCTGTGGCTGGGTGGCTCAGTTGGTTGGAGTGTTATACTGTGCCCCAAAAGGGTACAGGTTCGATTCCTGGTCAGAACACATACCTAGTTGCAGGTTTGATCCCTGGTTGGGGCACGTACAAAAGGCAACCGATTGATGTTTCTTTCTCACACTGACGTTTCTCCCTCTCTCAAAGCAATTAAGACTTATCCTTGGGTGAGAATTAAAAAAAATTTTTTAAGGTATGGAAAAAGGGAAATCATAACAATTATTGAATTTGCTAATAAGTTCTCAACTTTTAATAAAAGTCCAAGTGTCCCTTAACTGTACCTATCACAGATACTAGAGGTTAAATTAGAATTTTAAAAGAATAGTCATTTTGCTAGAAAGAAAAAGGCTGCTAGGATTTCTTGCAGTAGATGTAAGTAAATGATAAAAATGTAAAAGTAAACACTATATGATAAACAAAAGATAGCCACTATTTGAGGCTAATAATAAGTTCTCAAAAAACTTCTTTATTCCTTATAAGTTCAATTAAATGTTTTCAATTTTACAAATCTAGACCATACCTTCCCTCCAACCCTGCTTGTGCTCATCTCTTGTAATCAATGGAGACAGTAGAAAATAAATCCACAAAACCATTTTTAAAAATTTCATTGGAAGACTACTGCTTCTGCCATTTATAAAGTTTAAATGTCTTCTAAAATATACCACTGGCTGTACATAAAGTTTGCATGGTGATGGGGGCCGTGGCGTATTGTTTGGTTTGAGCAACTGCATCCCTGCTGCTGCATTACCCGACAGCACACACACCTTTACGTTCATAACCCACCACAGCAAACTGACACGGCCAATACTCTTCATCTTTCCTCATCTTTAAAGCCACTTGACCTAGTGCAGCGTCATGACAACTCATGCTTTCATGTAGCAAAAGCCTGCAGCTGGTTCCTGACTGCTGCCCTCTCCGTTTTGACCAGACGAAGCTTAAAGAGATTCTGTATTGGTACTTCTTTCTGCAAAGACCAACAAATGCTCCCCACTGATAATGTCACATTTAAATTAATGGTTCGTTCTTATCTGCCCCGAATTTGGTTCTTTCATTTAGTCACTTCACCGGAGGCAAATGGGTTTTCCATGAAAACCCAGATTTTTATTTAAAAAGATATTTTTATCAATTTTTAGAAAGGAAGGGGAAAGAGAGAAACATCAAAGATGAGAGAACCTATAACCACTGACTCCTGCACGCCCCACTCTGGGGATCAAGCCTGCAACCCGGGCATGTGCCCTGACCGGGAATCGAATGGTGACCTCCTGGTTCATAGGTCAATACTCAACCACTGAGCAATGCTAGCCGGGCTGTGAACACTAAGACTTAAATGCCATTTAATTTTTCTCCCATACTCCAAGTATAATATATTAACTCACAGCACCACCTACCTTTCAGTAAAAGGCTAGGAAACTAGGTTTACTTTTTAGTGTAATGCCCAAATGGCTGGCCTATACAAAGTAGAATGTTAGGCTCAAAATGCAAAGAAGAAAAAAATATCTAAAAACAAGTTCCATATGGCAATATATATAAAATGCTTATACCAGTACACATACATTTCCTAGTAATGTCCAAACCAGTGGTCTGGCCAGCAACATACTAATAACTTCAATCTGACACAGAACAGTCAGTGCACAGACTGTGCCCCTGAAAGTTAACTGGAGTTGCAGTCAGGGAGATGAGGGCTGCGTTGACATGAATCTAATATTCACTGATATTCCCTGCCCAAGTGGAAACTGGAAGGTGTGGTTTTCCTTAGAAGTCTTCTCAATACTTTAGTCATGTTCCCTGTTTAAATGAGAAAAAGGATGACGAGGGCTAAAATCTCACTTTTCTCTCCTCCCACAGTGATGCCTACCAGCACCAAAATCTATATAAAACGTGGAAGAGGCTGCTCGGGCAGCACACTCTCTACATGATCCAAACCACAGGCCTTTCTCAAATCAGCATGATTCCTTGACTTCACACTGAAATGGGAATCTTTTTTCTGCAGAAACGACCATTTCCTTATATAAAACTAAGCAGTACAGAAATATTAGTCAGCATGAACGAGCATTTGTACCAATAGCTGAGAAGTCAGTCAAACCATGAGAAGCAACTGATTACGTGAAAAGCTTGGTTGTGATGTTCATGAACGGAAATGTCGTAAGTTACATAGGGTTTCTCCCGTACAGTTCACAGCCCCGTAAGGCAGGCTGGGCTGAGGATCAACATCCATGTCCCCCACAGGGAGCAGATGAATTGGGGATTATGCACCTCAGCCCATGGAGCAGGAGGCCAAGGGGCATTTGGCGGTCCAGTGCTCTATTCCTTAGATATGCAAATTAGGAAAAAACCAAAACAATTTCAGTTAAAACTGACTAAAAAGAATTTAAAATATAAAAGTTTCTTTAAAAGTAGCACTCGGCCACAACTTTCAAACGGAGTAATTGGATTAAGCATTTTCTTAACACAGGACTGGGGCTCTAATTGTTTTGGAGGCTCTTTTCTTAGAGCGTGAGGAGCTCAGCATGTCACACCCACAACCGCACTCACAGTCTTTTTTCAGGGGTTCATGGCAGCAGACACCACCAGGAGCCTCGGTGATTGGACAATCAAATTACCATCCCATTTTGGTGGGACTACCCTGCCAGTTATAGTAGAGTTGTTAAAAGAAATAAACTCTTCCAACCTTTATAATTAGTAAAGTTTCATATCATCAATGGAGTAACAAGGATAGTTCTCACTTCATAAGCCTTCTTCTCTACCCTCTTTGCATTCCAAATCCATTATTTCCCTTATGCATTGGTTTTAAATGCTTCCTTTCTTCCTGTAGCGTCCCTCTGAGCTGTTCCAGGGAAATTACCAGTGCATTTCAAGGTTTCACTAAACTTGTATGTCCAACATGTAGAATACAATGGACACTTTTACATTTTCTCACATCCTATTGCACAATACAAAACTGATCAAAATGCACTAAGGAACATTTTGTGTTCAAATCAACACTAATTTAAAATGTCTGGTTAGAAAACAGTATAATTTAATATACGTATTCCAATTTAGTATGAAGGTGAGCAGTTATTATTTCTGAGGTTTAGATATCTAAACTATAGTTTACCATTGAAACAAACAGATTTTTTGGAGTCTTTCTTTCTTTATTTTTGATTTTTTAAACGTTCCTTTTAAGTTCACAGTGTCACAGGAGTAAAAAACAAGACTGGTAGAAAGCACTCTAAAACATATGGCTTTATATACATAAAAATTCAATAATGTTGTCACAACCCCTAATACAATGTGATCTGTATTTACTTACTACTGTCCAGAATGAACATCTGTACATATTAATTGTTCAAGTATATCTAGAGCAGTGCTTGTCAAAGTGAGGTTCCACTGCTAACTTAATGGGTGTTTCTTTGAACACATCCAATGTCAATACAATTAAATATAATTGTAACAATTTCTTGAATATGCTCTAAAGAGCCAAGTGTAATTTACAGTTAGTTTAACACCCCCTTTGTACAGCACCAAGGTTAAAAATGGATCTAGCTAAATGTTCTCTTTCTTTTATTAGTTACAGTTTGTTATTTATTTCTACAATATTAAGCCCACACTGAACTCTTGTGAAACTTTTACCTTAAATAAATAAACACTTCATCCACCTCATATTTGAATACCTAACTTTTTCCGTATAGTACACGTTCCTGGGTAACAGTTCTATCTTGGAGAACTAGGCAAGTCGGATAGGGTTCTCCAGGTTTGCTTTAAAACTTTCAAGAAACCTGGTGGCTAGCTCGTCATCGACTACTCGGCCGTCACTTGACATGGTGACCCTGATGAACTGCTGTTGCTGCAGTTTGTCATTCCCCTCTTCATCCTGAGTGAGCTTCAGCACAGATCGGAATCTCCCCACAGCCAAGATGCAGGCCTGAGGAGGGTTGATCACTGCAGTAAACTCATCGATGCCAAACATCCCCAAGTTGGAAATACTAGAGAAAACAAAAAGCTCTGAAGGTGGCATGTCGCCAATCAAAGAAGACTTTCCCCAAGCACACATTTTCACTTTAAAACTGTCATTCACAGGTAAACGGATTGTATACATAGAAAATCTAAGACTCTACAGATAAACTAGTCAGATTAGTAAGTGACTTTAGCTAAGTCACTAGATAAAAAGGTCAATATTAAAATTCATATTTTATTTATAAACAAGTTGCTGTAATTGGAAAATAAAATTTAAGAACACCATATACAATAATATCAAAAATATCAAGGAGCCTGCTCAATGTGGCTCAGTGGTTGAGCATTGACCCATGAACCAGGAGGTCATGGTTCGATTCCCGGTCAGGGCACATGCTTGGGTTGCAGGCTTGATCCACGGTGTGGGTTGTGCAGGAGGCAGTCAATCAATGATTCTCTCTCATCATTGATGTTTCTATCTCTATCTCCTTCTCCCTTCCTCTCTGATATCAATAAAGATAAATTAAGATTGCTGAGGTAAATCTATTGTATTTATATATATATTTAGATATCAAAAACAAACTCCAGATGTCACTCTATGAACACCTGAATGAGTTAACTAGCTAACCCTAAAGGGTTTCTACTAGCTTTGACACAAAAATTTGTCTGAAGAATATTTTCACACAATCTGTTATCTAAATAGAGTATGTGATATTTAGCTTAAATTTTTAAAAAGTTTCAGAAAAAAAATAAAACAGGTGACAGCTGTTTGATGCTACTTATAACTAAGAGTTTAAATTTTACCTGAAAGATCCTCCTTGGTATTCTTCAGGTAACAATTTCCCATCTCTTGCTTTCTTCGATAGAGTCTGAGAAAAATGCAGACCATGTCAAACAACACTGTATTATGCACAATTCAGGGTACTTGTCACTTGAAATATATGCACAGGGTACAGTCTTATCTCTGAGATGCTTTGCTTTCACTTTATAAGATGTAGATGTACTTTTCTCTAAAGTAAATTTTAAAATGAACAAGATAGGATACAGTCTAAAGAAGTTAAAGATGTAAATCAAAACTCTAGAAAAAGCACTTTCCTTGAAAAATTGTGCACCACTACTACACCAAATATTTTGGTGTTTTCCATCTTATCTATAAAACTTTTTTCTTATAAGATATTCGAAGAAGACATTCTTGTTAATCTAATATTTTAAATGAACTATGCAATGACAACAAACCTGGAACCAACATACCAGTTTTCATCTTTCACTTTTTCCTCTTTTTTATCCATAACACATATGTAATTTCAGACAGTTGTTAAAAACAAAACCCTAACTTTATATTTCACTTTCCCATATTAGAAGCATCTTTCTTGTTGCCAAGTCTTTATAAATGATTTTCAAATGTCTGTTTAACATTCTAAACACTGCATCTGCCAGAATTTACTTAGTCATTTCCCCAGTGTCATCATTTGGTTCACTGATTTCTTTTGAATGATTTCATATAAATTCTCAGAAGTGGAATTACTAAGCCCCAGAAAGTGGACATTACTGGTTCTTCATCCTACAGCTGAAACATTTCCTGGATGAGCTAGTCTAACTGACACCCCACAAAACATATAAGGATATAGTAATTTTATATCACTCTTGATAATACTGAGTTCTAAAAACTTAGATGACACGCTGAGAGTGAGTTTAAGAAAAGTCCTTTAAATTTTCCTCTACTTGGACTTGCAGTTAACTGCACTTCTGTTTAAGTTTTATTTTTCAGTGCTTCCAAAGCACAGACACAGAGGCTCAGTCATTATTAATATATATAATAAAAAATTAATAATGAATTTACTTTATGAGAAGGGTTGATAAAATAAATCCTGGGCTTACTTAATGTTCTGTATTATACAGCTAACATAAGTACAAATACAATCACCATTAATAACTGCTTTATTTGAAACCATAAATGATTTCCACTTTGAAAAATAAAACATTCTTTAAAAATCTAAAAATAATCTCAATGTATTACTGTGACTTAATGCAATTGAAACAACTACAGATTTATTTTATTTGGATACAGTTACTTATGAAGCCATTTGAAACCAAAATGAAAACTGAAGAGAGAGACTTAGACTTGTGCAGCCCGTGGAGTATCAGAAGCAGAGAGAGCGAACTGCAGATGTGCTTTTGCTGCCTGAAGCGATACAACGGTTCACATGACTTGCACAGACACATGTCATGTGGACTTGAGAGGCACTGCTTTAAAGGCAGATGATTTCCACATGTCCTGATGAGTTATTGCACTAACACAAATAAAAAGCATATTCATTTTAAAAACTAGGCTGCAAGCATGCATAATACACTTCTAAAAAAACTCTGTACACTCTAAAGACATCAGCAGGATATTCCTATCAGTGAACTCTAAGAACCTAAAATAAAAATAGAATCTGAGGAGGATTGGTGGTTCTAAAAATTCCTAAAGAATTCTCACTGGATTTTCCTGGTAGTCTGAAAATATGAACTTAAAAATCAAAGCTGGTAACAACTCTAAGCAGACAGCTGGAACAATATAATACAAGATGGCCAGCAAACATTTCCTTGGTAAATGAAAAAAAGGATCACTTATATAAAAGAATCTGAAATTGTCAATGCTGACACTATAATATTTCTGATCAAAAACACAGAAATTACTGAGGTTGTCAAAGCTGACCTATTGCCTGTGTTCCTGCTTATTCAATGGAATATTTTTGGTGAAATCAGATTCTTCTACATTAGAGCTACAGAACTGCTTCTATAAGAAAACACAGGAAAAATGAAGTACTTTTGTTTTTAGAACACTAAGCACTTTTAGTGGTCTCAATTCTAAAAAGAAAATGAATGAACTTTTAAGAATTAATATGATGTTAATAGTGAGGCCTATGTAGTACCACTTTTTTAGAAATATAGTTTCAGCTTTAACTATCTAAACTATCATCTTTAAAGTTGAATTCTAGACTTCGGGAAGTAATCATTCATCTATAACTTGAATACAACTGATCCTACTTTATCTGCATGTTATTTCTGAAATTTTGAATGTTAAATGTTCTTAAAATGGGTCGTATCTGCGCCCTGGCCAGGTGGCTCCATTGTTTGGAGCGTTGTCCCGTACACCAAAAGGCTGTGGGTTAAATTTCCTACCAAGGCACATACCTAGCTTGCAGGTTCAATCCCCAGTTGGGGCACATAAGGGAGGCAACCAATCGATGTTTCTCTCATATCGATGTCTGTCTGTCTGTCTCTCTCTCCCCACCCTCCTTCCCTCCCTCTCTCCCGGAAATCAATAAAAACATATCTTCAGGTGAGGATTAAAAATAATAATAAAAATAAATAAATGGATCATATCTGGATAAAAACTTAAACTCCATATACACAAATGACAATCACTTGGAAATATACACACAAACACAACTGCATATACAAATACAAATAATTGCATATAGATATATGCATATCAATCATCGAGTGACCAGATCATGTCAACGCTTTATCAGGAAGTAAATTCCAACATGTTGAAAGCACAGTATTTAAGGCCTACCTTCACAGAGTCAGCAATTTCCTGTATGCCCTTGGCTGCAGCATCTTTTATGATTGGTGTAATTAAACCTCTATCTGTTGCCACAGCCACTGAAATATCAATAAAAGGCAGTTGCTTTGGGCCCTCTCCATCCCAGCTTACATTGACACTTGGCATTTGCTAGAAATAAGAAACAGAAATACATGTTACTAAAGAAGCAGCTTCAGACCAAGTTGAGTAGAAAAATAACTAAATTATTATGCTCACTGGAAAGTGAATATAGCTAGACAGAAGGAAATAAAAATTTGGTTTAAGAAATGGTTTGGATCTCTGTGTTAAATACCTTTTATATCTGGGATGAACAATTAAGCATACCATCTTTTCTGAAGCAAGCTTGAGGAAATTCTGATGCTGTACACATTTTGATCCCTTTATATCATGGTTAAAAAAGGCTCCCTTTGTTAAACCTTGTGGACGGAAGGGGCCACATGCTAACCTGACAGGCTCAGGGGAGGCCTGCATAGCAGTCTTGCAGACTCAGAGACCTAAAGTAACCACAAAGGATGGTCTGAAATCAAACTTTAACTAAAAGCAGTTATGGTAGATAGTCACCTCCTTGGCTGCTATTTTCACTAACAAGGTCAAGTCAACATTTACCTTAACTGAGCCTGTCTTTTTGCATCTATGATAACATACCCTTTGAAATGTCTAGGTAACTTGTAACTTCCCTTTTTCCGGACCCCTTGGGGCACAACCTAATGTGCTGGGCACCAGGACAGACACCTCAAATTCCTTCATTATGTTAGTCATTCTTGTACCCACCTAAGTATGTGGCCATCATTTTACTTTTTATCCAATCCCAGGAGTGTCCGTCCCCCCCCCCCCCCCCCCCAGCCTTTGCTTTCTCCCGCCTCTCTAGTCTATCACCAATGGATTTCATGTAACCCACCTACGTTTCTTTCCTTTGATTGCAAAGTATAAATACAGATGTAACCCGCCATTCTCTGGAGCATTATCTCAATTCCTTGAGGTTCTGCTTCCCGGCATATGTCGACAGTTTGGCTCAAATAAACTCACAAAAATTCTTTACAGGTTTCAATCGTTTTTTGTTATTTTTTTTTACGTTAACAACATGATTGCTATAAAGTATTTAATGTTTGTTGTACTTCCTGCCCCAACATTTGACCAACATGACCTTGAGAAGGTAGACAGGGAAGAGGAATGGTGACATTTACCCACTCACTCCTGAGGCATGAAGAAAGCCTGATTTTCTAGCACAGCCCTGGGAGGTACCAGCAGGCCATTCATAAATGACTTCCTTATTTAAGAGAGATTTTCTAGCTTCATAAACATATATGTCCTACATGTGAGCAGGTCTATATTTAATATGCATACAATACACTGAGGCTGAAAAACCAGATGAAATGGTTAAATACTTGGAAACAATGTGAATTGATATGTTGTCAAGTATCACAGAAGAAAATGATGCTGAAAAATAGACATAAAAAACAAGTATCTCGCCGAAGCCGGTTTGGCTCAGTGGATAGAGCGTCGGCCTGCGGACTGAAAGGTCCCAGGTTCGATTCCGGTCAAGGGCATGTACCTGGGTTGCAGGCACACCCCCAGTAGGGGATGTGCAGGAGGTGGCTGATCGATGTTTCTCTCTCATCGATGTTTCTGACTCTCTATCTCTCTCCCTTCCTCTCTGTAAAAAGTCAATAAAATATATTAAAAAAAAAAAAAATCTCTTCTCAGCAATTCTTTGCTTTCTACAGAATAAGATCCATACCTCTCTTCTGTAATGTAAACATAGCCATCCACAACACAATTCCTCTTACCTACCTAATCTTACTTCTGACCATTCCCTTAAGATGAATTTCCCAAGTCCCTCAGGCCCTGCCCTGCCATGCTGAGCTCATTTCCATTTCCTCACTCTTCACTTCTCCATCTTTTGAGGCTCTCTCTGCCCACTCATTCAACAATGCCACTAAGTCAAAATAAACAAGGAAGTCCCAACCTCTTAGAAGATTTAAAATATTTTAGAGATAATGGTAAAATAAAAGAGATAAAACCACCCCCCACTTGGCAAATAAATTTAGTTAGGAAGCTATCGTAAACAAAAACCTACGGGACATAAGTTGTACCTGAAGAAAAATTTATAAACCTAAATAATCTTAATAAAAGATAATCATAATGAATTACAGATTCAAGTTTTCTAAGAAAATATCTCTTATCAAAATAAACCTGAGGATGTGAAGGAATACATAATAAAATAAAAAGGGAGTGATTGTAAGTATACAAAAGCGAGGCAGAGTTCAGAAAACCCCCAGGTACTGAGGACATTAACATAATTATAAGCAAACTTAAGTGACTCTAGGCCAGTGGTCAGCAAACCGCAGCTCGCGAGCCACATGCGGCTCTTTGGCCCCTTGAATGTGGCTCTTCCACAAAATACCACGCGCAGGCGCGTACGTACAGTGCGATTGAAACTTTGTGGCCCATGCGCAGAAGTCGGTTTTCGGCCTGGGCGAGTCTATTTTGAAGAAGTGGCGTTAGAAGAAGTGGGGGGTGTCGGTCAGTAGGTCGGGCAACGGGAGACAGGGCTCAGGCGGGCCGCGGGATAAGCAACACGGGGGAGGCGTGCGCGATTCATGCACGAGTTGAGTGAGCCAGTCGGCTCCTGCGGAAGCAGTGGGCAGCCTACTGTGTGCAATATTGCGCGATGGGCTACTAGTTACTGTATATAATCTTAATTTGCTCTATCTCCTAACATCCTTATTTAGTTTATGGCATGAAATTTCTCCTTGTTTATCTATAAAAATCCAAAGATGTGACATTACTTTAGAAGTCAAAATTATTGGGATTTGCTACTTACTTTAAGGGTAACAGCTGCTGCCTTGATGATAAAATCATTTACTGACACTTTAATGTCATCTGAAAGAAAAACAAGCAAACTAAAATTAACATTCATAATAAACTTTAACATTGACCATTAGGATTTCAAACTTGTAAATTACTACACTGACAAGCAATAGTAAAAAACATGACAGGTTTTATTTGTTTGCTTATTCAATAAGATTCTCTGATAAGAAAAACTTGTATTATATGAGGTCCTGAACGAGTATTAACCATAAAAAGTTTATTTCTGGGCCTTGATTATAATTCTTTTAAATTGCTCAGATATGATATACAAGAACTTGCAGAAAGAAAATCAACTCCTATGTCTCTGAAGAGACAAATGGTCTAAGACAGGGGTGGGCAAACTTTTTGACTCGAGGGCCACAATGGGTTCTTAAACTGGACCGGAGGCCGGAACAAAAGCATGGATGGAGTGTTTGTGTGAACTAATATAAATTCAAAGTAAACATCATTACATAAAAGGGTACGGTCTTTTTTTTTTTTTAGTTTTATTCATTTCAAACGGGCCGGATCCGGCCCGCGGGCTGTAGTTTGCCCGCGGCTGGTCTAAGATATAATAGTATATAAACAGAATGATTCATTTTTTCCTCATCCTTTTCAAATGTCCTTTTTCTGCATATGCTTTAAAATATACTGACTGTATTAGAACTGTGGCACACAGTCACTTTATAAAATAAATATATATCTCGGGGATATTCAAAATTTTTTCACTAATGGGGTATACAACAAAAATTTTGGACCACTGCATTAGGTAAGATCTGCTTTTTAACTTAACAAAACAGGATACAGCAAATGCCAAAGATGAGACAATGTTGGTGTACGTCCTAGTGTAATAAGTAAAATGAAGTTTTCTGTCCAGTTTTATGGTGAGTACATTTGAATTAATTTCCTTCCACATGATGATTTTAAGATAAAGCTGAGGTCCTCTCCCTCTCCACAGAGCTGCTATAACTAAAGCATTTGATTTATACTCTTGCTTTTCCCAGTGGGTATGGAAGTGTTGGAAAATGTAAACTACACTTGATTCTTTATTGCAAGAGCTTCTAGAAGATCAAGATCTAGTCAATGATATGTGGCAGGAATCACAAATCCTGTTATTATAGTATCATGGAATTTTGTGTGAACAAGACCTCATTCCAAAGGCATGCTGAAGCTTTCAGAAAGAGAGCAGATGAATTACCATAAACATAAATACTGCCAAACTGTCATGGTAACTGTCAGCTGCTCATTTAATTCACAGCTCTTCTAATTCAGACTTTCAGAAACATACTACTTTTCTGTTTCTTTAAAATCCCTTTAGGAATAGAAATAAAAATGGATTTCCAATGCTTACAGGTCAGAATTTCCTTATGTACATAAGTGTAAAGATTCTTAGCAAAATTTTAGAAAATGGAATCAAGCAAGTATGAAAAAATTAATGATTAAATGAGTTTTATTCACTCATTACAAGTAATCACTCATATAAACAAGGTCGATTCAACATTTGGAAATCAATAAAATTCACCATATTAATAGGCAGGAAAAGGAAAGATTATCTCAAAAGATACACAAAAAGCATTTGACAAAATTCAACATCCATCCAAATGTGAATTTCAGTCTGAAAAAGGAAATCTATAAAAACCTACAGCTAATATTAAAGACTCAATACTTTCTCCCAAGATCAAGAATGAGGTGAGAATGTCTGCTTTTACTACTTATATTCGTCATGTGACAGAGGTCCTCAACAGCGCAATAAGGCAAGAAAATGAAATAAGAGTCGCCCTAACTGGTTTGGCTCAGTGGATAGAGCGTCAGCCTGCAGACTCAAGGGTCCCAGGTTCGATTCCGGTCAAGGGCATGTACCTTGGTTACGGGCACAACCCCAGTAGGGAGTGTGCAGGAGGCAGCTGATCGATGTTTCTAACTCTCTATCCCTCTCCCTTCCTCTCTGTAAAAAAATCAATAAAATATATTTTTTTTAAAAAAAGAAATAAGAGCCATACAAATTGGAAATAAATGATACATTAGTTTATGCTAAAAATTCTTATGTCTCAGCAACCTGAGCTTTAATTGATTTTTGGGAGAAACATTATAAATTTAATAACCTAAAATGCACTTTGAAGGAGAAATTAAAAAATTAAAACTTGTATCAAGAAAACTGATACATAAGACATTTATAATCTAAAACCAGTTTTAAATTTTATATTTTCTAAAATGCTAAGGATAGCTTTATTTGAGGATCATATCAAAAAGTATGATTTACGCAATACTATGGAATCAATTTATTATTTATTTATTTTTAAATTTTTAAAAAATATATTTTATTTTTTTTTTTACAGAGAGGAAGGGAGAGGGATAGAGAGTTAGAAACATCGATGAGAGAGAAACATCGACCAGCTGCCTCCTGCACACCCCCCACTGGGGATGTGCCCGCAACCAAGGTACATGCCCTTGACCGGAATCGAACCCGAGACCCTTCAGTCCGCAGGCCGATGCTCCATCCACTGAGCCAAACCGGTCAGGGCTGGAATCAATTTATTTTTTTATAAGAAATAAACCAATTGTTTAGCACTAATATGTTCCAAGATGATGAAATTGAAATAAAAAGCTACACAATGTGGATTTTATAAAGGATTTTATGATAGTTAACATGCATATTGCATTAAGTAAATTCAACTTTACTAACCTTTGACCAGTTTTTGTCTAACTTTTAAAACAGCTCCAACGTCACAATCAGCAGTAGCATATGCATGAGGTACAGTACTTTTAGATTCAGTCAGCCTTTTGGCAATAACTCTTCGAATATTGCTAGCTGGGATTTCAGTGAATGTGCCCTGCACAAGAATAGAAATTTGTCCTTTAAACCATGTAAAATGAAAGGGGAAAAATAAATTTCATAACAGAAATCAGGTCTCAGTTACTTATAGTAATAATTAAAGATTAACACAGAAAAAGTACTACTAAAAATTCTTAGTGCCCTAGCCAGTGTGGCTCAGTTGGTTAGAATGTCTTCCTGTATACCGAAAGGTGGCAGGCTTAATGCCTGGTCAAGGCGTGTACAGGAGGCAATCCATCAATGTTTCTCTCACATCGAAGTCTTTCTCTCTCTCTTGCTTTCTCTAAGATTAAAAAAAAAAAAAAAAGTCTTAGTATAAGAAAAATGTAAGAAACCTGAGGAGTGTAAAACTGTAGAAAAAAACTTTGTAGTATATGAGTATAGAAGAAAGTGGAAAAATTCAAGTTTCAGTTATGAATGAGACTTATGTTACTATGTTTGAGGTGATTTTAAAATATCTAACAAATCATGAAAAATTCCTCATGGATGTGTGTGTGCATGCACATGTATACACACACACCCCAGAGGTACTACCTATAAGCAATTATTGTTATAAACATCATCTATATCTATAAAAGGCTAATATGCAAAGTGTCCTTTTGGGAGTTTGATTGTTCGCTATGACATGTGCTGACCACCAGGGGGGCGGTGTGGAATGAAGAAAGGCCTCAGCCCCAGCTGGCAGCCAGAAGGCCCCGATCAGCCCTGATTGCCGGCCAGGCCTAGGTACCATACCCGTGCATGAATTTTATGCACTGGGCTTCTAGTTTCTTAACACATTAAGCACTATATCAGTCACCAGTGACTGACACTATACTTTCCATCCAGACCGGTCAGCATATCGGTGAAATCGGATATTGCGGGCAAAACGGAAAGGAAGACAAAACAGGCTTGGTGCTTAATGTGTTAATAATACTCAAAGCAGCCAATAAATCAACAAAACTAAAAGCAATTTTTATTTATAAAAACGGCATAAAGTAGCCCTAGCTGGTTTGGCTTAGAAGATAGCACATAAGCCTGCAGACTAAAGGGTCCCAGATTCAATTCCAGCCAAGGGCACATGCCTGGGTTACAGACTTGATCTCCAAAAGGGGGAGTGCAGGAGGCAGCCAATCAATGATTCTCTCTCATCATTGATGTTTCTGTCTCTCTCTCCCTCTCCCTTCCTCTCTGAAATCAATAAAAACATATTTAAAAAATGGCATAAAGTAGAAAAAGATAAGCCAATATACTGGATAATCTATCAAATTATTTGTATTTCAGATTGTTATTTTTTTTTTTAAATCACATGAATACCTTATATCCTAGAAATTCAAAATGTGGAGTATGAATGAGCAATAAAATCTTCCTGTAACTTTATTGTAGCCTTTCCATTCTGTTCCTTGAACTTCTAACAAAAGCATGGGACTTAAATTACATCTAATTCCTTCCTTGTCCTTTACATCATCCTGGGATTGGGTTACAATCACTTCAGGATAATACAGAAGCAGAAAGTACAGCTGATTTCCTTTTTGATAAATGCTCTCTTACAGAATTAAACATTTTAGAAGGCAGCTATGCTCACCACTATACCACCAATGCAACCTAGAATTAAACATTTTAGGTTAACAAAGTACTTGATCAAACAGAATAGACAGTTCTCGGGTTACGTCGGACTTGATGTACGCTGTTTCTTGGTTACGTCGCCATCTCCCATTTATTTATATAAAAGAAAAAGTTCCGTCATTTGGACGTATGTACATATGTGCTTTATGTTTTTTATTATTTATTTACCACAAGTAAAGATCCAGAATTGTTATCTTTCTTTAAATTTTTTTTTACTGTTTCACTTCATTACTGCTGTGTATGTTTTCCATGTGAGTGACGTAGGTGCTTATGTAGGTGGGTTCTGACTTATGGCGAAAGTCGTGTTATGTTGCATGGTAGGAACGGATCTCTGACGTAACCTGAGGACCTACTGTAAATGCTCTCTATAGACTGTAAGAATTTGAAAGTGAGGTTTATCTTTCTAATCTGAATAACTTAGGTTTTAAAGAAATTAAGATTTGATTACACATAAAATTTTTGTATATGTAGTCATGTCATTAATGTACAGTAAAAAAAATGTTTCCTATGAAACTTGTACTATTTTCAATTCTTCTAAAATATTATATTAAATATATCTCTCCATTAGAAAACGTAGCAAAGGTTTGTCTCTCTGTCCGCCTGTTAATATTTAAAGTGCCCATTCAATTTTAAATAAGCCTGATTATTCTGCATTTCTTCTGATGGGAGGAAATGACATGAAACCTAGGAAAGGAAGAGAGAGGCAAAATGGAGCAAATTGAAAACAAAAAGACTGTTACACTGAATATACCTCAGAAGAAAACGTGATTAGTCTGTGTGTTTGTCATAGTGAGCCTACCAACTTCCTTAGTCAAAAATTAAACCATGTCCACAAAAGGGAGCAAATGTCAGTCACTAATTATTAGCTAAACAAGACATGCAAAGTTTCGGGATTACAGAGAGTGTACATGGTACTGAAGTTGTGGAACTTGTAGTAAATTTGAATGGAATCGCCAAAACCGGTTTGGCTCAGTGGATGGAGCGTCAGCCTGCGGACTGAGAGGTCCCGGGTTCGATTCCGGTCAAGGGCATGTGCCTGGGTTGCGGGCATATCCCCAGTGGGAGATGTGCAGGAGGCAGCTGATCGATGGTTCTCTCTCGTCGATGTTTCTAACTCTCTATCTCTCTCCCTTCCTCTCTGTAAAAAATCAATAAAATATATTGGAAAAAAAAAAAAATTTGAATGGAATCATAATTCTGGTGTTCCTTTTGGAAGTCAGAACTGTACAAATAAATTTGGTTTGTGATAGGAACTCTGCAAAACAAAGCACTTGAAGAGTTTTGTCTTTATCGCTTTTAGCTGCTACTAAAATAGATCGCAAAAAGTACTTGTAAACATACAGTAATGGTGCTTATTTTCTTTCCCACTTAAATCTGAAAAATAAAAAATCTCCTTAGATGACATTACCGCTACGTTAGGCTGTCCAGGAGTTGAAATTGGTGGGACCATGGGCCGGGGATAAGATGGCGGGGCTGGGGCCTGTGCGGGCAAAGGTGCAGTGGGAGTTACAGGAGGGGCTGGGGTCGGTCTGGATTCCATGATCTTGCCCGTCTGTTTCAACTGGACAAGCTTGACAGCATCCCTGGAGATAAGAGGGGATTAGATAACCATGATGAGCAATAAGAACTATAATAAAACCTTTAGAAAAATGGAAGGGAGATGTGGAGGGAAGATACAGAAATATATACATGTCAGAAATATATAATGCAAAAGGAATTATTTGATCTAGACAAATGAGTCTTGTCTGCTGATTCATATTATTTGTCCAATCAGTACAATAATTGTACAGTTTCAAAACCCAAAGAATTAGAAATTTATTAACATACTGGCTATAGATAGTTATTTTTAAAAAGGAAATTAGTCTTTTCTCTCCCGGGGGGAGAGGGGCTATCATTTGGAATATGAGCAATTCATAAATTAAACCACACCCTCATTCTTTATACTTGTGAAATAATTTTCACACTTAGAAATTATGAAGTGTATTGTGCCTATGATTTTCATTAGGATATTTACTAAATCACTGCTTAGTGTTAATTACCTTGTTTATGGCAGAAAATCACACCACTGTTAATTTTGCTCACTAGGCTATCAGCACAACCTAATGTAATAAACCTAACCGACATCATTTAGGATAAAAAATAGACTAGTAATAAACTTGCCATTGTATTACTGTGTAAAATAAAGGTATCTTTGTTTTTTAAAAGGATATAGTGAAATTACTAAATATGTCAAGCCTTTGATTTTTTAAATAAGCATATTGCTTTAAAACATTAACTCAATTTAAAAATTTTACTGTTACTGCCCATAGAAATGTGGCACATATAACTACAGCAGCCTTATATTAGGTTTATATGCCTATTTGACTAATCTTTGTCTTCCCCACTAGAATAAATTTCAATAGATGAGGGAAAGACAAAATTTAAACAAATGGAAAGACATATCAGTGTTCTTGGAAGACTCAACATCATAAAGATGCCAGTTCTTTCTAAGTTAATTTAAAATGTGACACAATCCCAATACAAACACCAAGGTTCCCCTGCCAAACCCTGCCAGGGGGCTAGACGAATTGTTTAAAATTCATTTGGAAGAATTAAGAGTGTAGTATTAAAAAAACATAGACAAAATAGAAAAGAAAATCTAAAAAGAGACCCAACTGTATCTGGAAATTACTTTGATACATACAAAAGTGAATAAAATCCAAACGGATAAGAATAAAATTGTTTTTAAAAGTATATTTCCATGTTTTAGAAATTTAAATGTGATTGCATGTTTATTTCATACAAACGTGAAACAACACAGTTTCACTCTCCTGAACTCTAATTTTCTGCATTTATCACCATTTCCAAGGATCTCACTTAGTTACCAAATTAGAACTGTTCTTCAGTAATGCTGCAATTATTCAGAAAACAACCCTTGCATAGCATACAATTTTATTCAGACAAAAGCAATTAAAAACACAAAGGAACAGTGTACTTTCTTTTAAATCATAGCTTGAATAAGCTCTTCTTTAAGTACTTTGAGAGAATAATGATCATGATAAGTAATGAAATTGGTTATTACGAAAAGCACACACATACTCTTTGGTGAAGATCCCCCGAGGGCCAGTGGCTGTGCCCTGGCTGGCATCCAGTTTGTGCTTTGCCAGAATATTACGGGCAGCTGGACTTAACCGGAGCCTAAGGAGAAAACATGAAGATTAGTGGGATCAATTAATACGCATATTTGATTCAAATATACCCTAAAGTCAAGTTTTTCTGATAATTAAAAAAAATGAAAACATAAAGCTAAAATAGACAGTTACAAGTAAGTTAATCTGCTCTAATCTTGTTTCTATTATTATCAACACATTTTCACACAAATTTAATTAGTTACTATTTCAAAATATTATTTTAAAAAGGGTAAACATTCACAAAGAGAAAGCTTCTACTTTTCACATGGTTCATTCAAATAAACATACTCACTGCAATGTCCCTGGTGACTGTTCCTTTTTGAGAAGCACAGGAGTCGGTGGCCCTGGGGTGGGGCGAGGCGCTGAGGGCTGTGAAGCGGCTGCTGGAGGACCTACATCTTTGGGAATTTCAACATGTTTCCAATCTTCTCCTTCTTCAACTAGCAAACCAATTAGTGAACCTAGCCGTATATTTTTAGATCCTTCTTCAACCTATATTTTAAAAAGAAAGTAACTGCAGAGATGGAAAGGCTCACGACCTCATGAATAAGCTTATTCCTTTGTTGGATGTTTCTGTGCCAGTTAGAAAGATCAGTTCATTTGAGCTAACGTCCGTTTCCAAGACAGCCTGCCTCCTCTTCCCACTCATGACCTTCCTTTGCTTCCTTCCCCCACTAATACCTTCCTTTACCACTTTTCCCCTCCCAGTTACTAATGCTATTTACTGAAATAAAGGGAAAATCTAGAATCTCCCTTTTTTCTGACAGTCTTTATATATATGAGACATATTTATGACCATCTTCCTTCTGATTTCAATCAGTACAAATCCCAAACAAAAAACTGTGGTTATATATCTCAACTGTTTGTCTTTCTCAGAGTTCTATATAATGGCTTAGGGAATTCTAAGAACTCATAAGAGATTAATTCCCCCAATAGGTCCTATTTACTTTACTAAAATTAATTCAATGAAAAATATTTTCAGTAACCTTAATCTAGAAAAAAAGAACATCCCACTGTATAGATAGAATTGATTAACAACTCTGGTTAATGTTAAGTGTAGTTCCCACCTTTTTCTACATATCTATTTACAAACCTGAGAAATAAAACCGCATGAATTTTTTATAAGTACATCAGAAACATGGTGGTGTCTCAACTAACCGAACACATTTCCACAGACAATGCCAATTAAAAGTGTAAGATTGAAGATAAAGCTTGAGCTAAATATATTTTAAACGTTTCAGTAGCATTAATTTATTTTAAAAGTTTTTTATTTACTTATTTTTAAAAAGTCCCTAGAGAACCTTCAAATGACAATATTTTGTAAGCCCAATAATAGAAGAAAATGTCATTCCTTTAACATTTTCTATTATTCCCTTTCAATTACTATAAGTAAGGTTCATTTCAGATGTAATTTAATGAATAACTGAATGACAGGCTGCAGGATATTCACTAACATAGTAATTATAAGTAAAAGCATAACTCCTAAAATGAGGCTGACATTTCTGAGAGATTCTAATTTTTATGCTGATCAGTAATGTGCACTATTCCTAAAAGAATAGGGCTTAAGTCCCAGGAGTAAGGACACTTTCTAATTTACTAATTACTGATGGAGAAGAAACAGAACAATGCTTTGATAAGGCAAAATATATATAAGAAATGGGTATTTAAAACTCAGTAAGAATGTTTAAAGAACTGCAAGCTGTGAAAAAATACTAAGAAACCCAAGAACACTTTTTTTTTTAGTTTTTTGTCACATACTAAATAGTTTTACTTCTTTGGACTGCTCGTTTGTCCTTACTACGTCAAAAAGATGAGTTAAGATTATTATTAGGTTATTTTTTGCATCTTCTAAAAATGCCTAATTATTTGCTTATGAATTGCTAACTAAGAATCACAAAGTAAAATGATGACTAATATTCTTTAAAACTCGATAGAAAAAAGCACTAAGTGATATAAAGTCCACTTGATGATAATTCCTATCAAAACTGTACCAGAAATAGGATCAATATTCAAGTGCAAAGAACATCACTCCAAAGCAAAGTATTTTTTAATAAATAGGAAAGTTGTATTGGAAAAATATCTATAGATTTCTAACATTTGAATCAGACATGATATTAAATCTAAAACTGACACCTCATCTGTTTTATTTATGATAAATCATATAAATGGTTCCCATACATACCCTACCAATGGATACCTTCACAAGTAGGCAATAAGTATTTAGTATCATTCCAACATTTATCACATCTAAAAATCAAATAGAATTTATTTTTAACTACTCACATTTTTTTTCCCATTAAAAAATGACACCATGAAGCATGATACCCAAATATACTGGACAAGTGTATGCTACTACACAACTTGAATATATAACAGAAGTTAAAATAATATCTATTAGAGTTCCATTTAAAGTCATGGAAATCACTAAGTGAAGTTAAAATCATTTCTCTGGCTTGCTTTATCCCTGAGAAATAAGAGAACTTTTAGAAGTGTGCTAGCTTCCTGTAGACTAGTGTGCTTATGTTATAGTCGGCAAATGTTTAAAATTGGTGCAGACTCGGTAAAAGAAGAGTAAATAATGCTCTTTCCAAAGTGCTTAGAAACCAAACAAGGTGGCCTTTGTTACTGCTCCCTCTGGGCTAGCACTGGGATGGGCTCCACTCCACCAGAGCATTTGGAGTTCCAGGACACTTCAATCAGCCAGTTCTTTTTCCACGCACCCGTTTACTGGATAAAATTCTCTCCTGCTCTCGTGTCACTGATCTCTTAATATGAAGTATAGGATTTTTATACTTAGTCCTGATAAAACTGCTGGTTAATACTGAAATACTGGATCTGGAACCTGTCATTTAATGTATTAGCCTTCCCTCCAGTCTTTTAGGGACTCCCTCAGTTTTCATTCTGGCTCTGCTACTTGCTAGTTAGGTGACCTTAGAAAGTTGTCTCACCATGACTTTCTTCATCTGTAACGGAAATAATAATAGTAGCTACTCAGAGTTGTCATGAGGAATAAATGACTTTGAAATAAGATACAAAACAGTGCCAGACATCTAGTAACCACTACATAAATATAAGAGATGTTGTTGTTATTATTATTATTACTACTATGGTGTTGGTATTTTCAAGTTTTTGATTTTTTTATTATTATTTTTTAAAATATATTTCTATTGATTTCAGAGAGGAAGGGAGAGGGACAGAGAGATAGAAACATCAATGACGAGAGAGAATCATTGATCAGCTCCCTCCTGCATGCCTCACACTGGGAATTGAGCCCACAACTGGGGCATGTGCCCTTGACTGGAATCAAACTTGGGACCCTCAGTCTGCAGGCCAACGCTCTATCCACTGAGCAAAACCACCTAGGGCAAGTTACTGATTTTTAAAATAAAAAATATACTCAACATGGATCAAGACTGGACTGCAGAGGAGTGTCCTTTGGCAGAGGCTGGAAATTCACGCCTTAAGGTCCAGTATCAATAAGGCTGGAAGAACCGAAGAGTAAAGAGCAACATATGAAACAAAGGTGGTAAGGCTTCTGACAAAGGTGGTAAACTATTTTCCCACAATACTCAAAGGCTGAATTCTGTCCCAAGACATGAACCCCAGTAAGGGCCTTTTTACCAGAGACATCTCTGTAGGCTGACGTAAATCACCTGCAAAACAGCCACCTACCCTCATCCATGTACCCAAGGACAGTAGGTGAAGTCAAGAGACACAGTAACAGCAGCAGTATTTCCAACAGGGAAACTGTGTAAGGGAGTTCATTACACTTAAGTTCTAGTAAATACAGTGTTTTGATTCTGATATTAAAATATAATTAGTAAGTTTAACAATTTTTTAAATATATTTCTGTTTAAAAGTAGAACACTTCAGAACTCCTAAGTGAGTACTGAGGAGCATGCGCAGTGGTTAGTGGAGATGAGCTAAGTAACCTGACTGGCCTGAGGGTGGAAGGAAGAAACAGGAGAGGTTACTGCCGGGCAAAACAAAAGACTGCTTACATTCCTGAGTGTGCACTGAAACTGACTGAACTTCAAGGTGACTATGTCTGGGATTATTTAAAGAGAATAGCCAAATAGCCCAACACCGGTGCCTCCGCTTCTTGCTGATGCTAGAACTTGCTGGACTGTGACCCACAACCAATCCACAGGAACAAACACTTCTTCCTTAGGGACTATGTATTTAGCTCAGAACTAGCTCTTCTTGAGCGTCCCTCACCCCTTTTATCTACAGCCAAAGCAAATTCTTTCAAAACAATGTATATCTTCTTCCCCAAACTGTTTGTCCTTCAACTCCAGGACAGCTGCCATGTCTTCATCCAGCACTGTTGCTGGCGGTTCAGACTTTCTGCCATAGGACCTGGCTCTTTTTCTGGCTAGAATTTGGCTCAGCAAATCCTTTCTTTTAGAAAAGCTTTTAGAAATGTTTTTATTAAACAACTGCATATATTTAAACTAGAGGCTGGTGCACGAAATTTATGCATGGGTAGAGTCCCTAGGCCTGGCTGGCAATCAGGCCAATCAGGGCTTTCCTGCTGCCAGGAGGGGCCTCCCTTTGTTCCATGCTGCCCCCTGGTGATCAGTGCATGTCATAGCGAGCGACTGAACTCCTGGTTGAACTCCCGAGGGGACACTTTGTATATTAGCCATATATATATATATTTATTTATTAGGGCCCCAGTGCACAAATTTGTGCACCTTGAAAGGAACTGTGGGCCGAGAGGCTGCGGTGGGCACAGAGGCAGGTCTCGGCCCATCCTTCACGCCCCTGCCCGGCCCCTCCTGCTGCTGCCCCCAGTATCCTGTATGCCGGCAGCCCCACTCCCGCCACTGCCACTCACACACACCGATGGCACCAGCCCCGCTTTCACCTGCAGCCAGCGCTGGCAGTGGGTGTGAGTGGGGCCATAACTGGCAATGGGTGTGAGAGTTGGCTGCCAGCCCCAATTGTCCCTCAGGAGCAGGGGGAGATGGAGAAGCCCTGAGGGGCGATCGAGGCCGGCAACCACTGCTTTCACCCGCTGATGGTGCTGAGTGATTGGGGCCAGTGCTGGGCGCTGGCAGCGGGTGTGAGCAGCGGCTCTGGCATTGGCAATGGGTGCAAGTGGGGCTGGCGCCAGCAGCAGGTGCAAAAAGCAAAGAATTTTCAGTAACCACCAGAGGCTCATCTTGATGACAGCGACCAGTGCCCTGCCTTGGTCTGGTGCCCCCACTCACCTGCTCCACCATCCCACCACGGCCGACACCCTCCATGTTCTATGCATGCCCCCTGGTGGCCAGTGCACATCATTCGACCAGTTGTTCGGTTGTTCCGCCATTCGGTCTATTTGCATATTAGCCTTTCATTTATAGGACTAGTAGCCTTGTGCAAAAATCTGTGCACCAGTAGCTCGCTGCCGTCCTCCAGTAGCTCTTCGCCCGCTGCCCTGCCCTCCTGTAGCTCCCCACCTCATAGCTGGCTGCCCTGCCCGCTCCTATAGCTCTCTGCTGCCCTCCTGTACCTCTCCGCCACCGCTGGTAGCCAGAAGCTCGCTGCGCCCTCCTCTAGCTCTCCATCCGCTGCCCCACCCTCCTGTAGCTCCCTTTGGCACCCCCCCCCACCATAGCTTGCTGCCCTGCCCCCTCCTGTAGTTCTCCGCCGCCTGCTTGTAGCTCACTGCCCCACCCTTCTGCTGATCCGTGATAGCGTAATAACCATTTGCATATTATATATTATATAGGATATAGATTTAGATTTAAAGGAAATGACTGGTCTTGCTGGATCCACAAGCATATTTTCCATAAAAATGCTCATGGAACAGAACATACAGTATCAACAGAAAAGACTGTCAACTCAATTATATTCAAGTATGTGAAATATTCTATACCAGTGATGGCGAACCTATGACACGCGTGTCAGAGGTGACATGCAAACTCATTTTTTCGGTTGATTTTTCTTTGTTAAGTGGCATTTAAATATATAAAATAAATATCAAAAATATAAATCTTTGTTTTACTATGGTTGCAAACATCAAAACATTTCTATATGTGACATGGCACCAGAGTTAAGTTAGGGTTTTTCAAAATGCTGACACGCCAAGCTCAAAAGGTTTGCCATCACTCTTCTATACCCACATTTTTATATAAATATGTATTTTAAATTATAAAAGTGTCTAAATTGTGAGAATGAGTTAAGAATGGTCAGTGAGTGTGACTATGAAACCTATGGACAAGACTTCCCAGGACATTTTAAACAGTCTTGTCTAGAGGAAGGAGCTGAGCAGATGACAGCTTTATATACCTGCAGTCCTGGGCATCCCAGGGAGCAATAAAGATAGGATTTATCATTCTCCTGAGATAAGAGTAAAACATTCCTTCTTTTTTATTTTACCAACTACAAACTTCGAAATTGCTATTTCTAAGCTTTACCCTATTGCTTTTTTTTCAAATTCCATCTCAAATAGCCTTCTCTCAGCACTCAGGCCAGAATGCTTCTCATTCCCCTCTAGCACAAACCCAAACACCAAGTACTATTGTTGAGGTTGAGACAGTTCTCTGTGGTCTGATCATCACGGGCTATTATTAAATCTTACCACTAAAATATTTTATACACCTGAATTTAAAATTATGCAGCAAATAGAACACTATAAATAAAGAGGTAAAAATAAAAGATAACTTTATTTCAAGGAACCTAACGTTTAAGAAATCTTCATCTGTTGTAAGCAATCAAAATAAAAACTTACCACTATTTTGGCCAAAATGCCATCATCACTTGCATCTAAGGTAACCACAGCTTTGTCGGTCTCTATTTCACATAAGGCATCTCCAGCACTCACAGCTTCACCTACAAAACAAGACTGGGTTTGTTTTGTTTTTTAAAATATGAATTTTAGTATGTGAGTTGGTGTGTGTATATGTTTGTAAAACATGAATAATAAATACCAAAATATTCCGTGTTTATTTCTAGGGTGTGGAATTACAAGTAATTCTCATCATGTATGTATGAGTGTTTGCATGTGTGTGTGTAAGAGTATATATGAATATACAGTGAATAGCAATGAATGCACATCCTCCTCTGAACAAATCAATTCCAGACCCCATATTCCTTCCTTTATAATATAATTTGACTATTAATCCATGAAGAGAAAAGTTTTACAATTAATAGCACTTCTGGGTTAACATCGTAGGTTGAGTTCAGAAAATCTGTTGGCACTACAGAGCATAAATGTACAAATCATATTAAGCAAAAAGAGAGATAATCAAAGATACAATGAGGTCAAATAAGAAACATTTCTGTGCAACAGAAACAACAGGGAAACTCAAAAATGTTGAGCAGGACCTGACTGACTGGTTTCTAGATCTAGAAGCAGATTGGGGGTAAAGTGTAGTAGTTGCTCCTAGAGTAAAGGGAACTAAAAGTGGCCTCATGAAGCCAGGGGACTCGAATCACACTCTCAACTTAAAGCTAGGACTGGGTCAGGGTCCTTCTACTCATTATAATAGAATGCTGATACCAGAGGCGATCATCGCCTGCCGACTAGGACTGTGGCTTTAAGGAGAACTGTGGGTCTTGGAAGGTGGGTGAACAAAAACTCTGCCTCAATACCAGGAACAGAGCCAAGCCACCTTCTGGCTCCACTACTATACCTGCTAATATCTCTAATATCAATAGCAAAATCCCTGATTGGAGGATAGAGGAAGGGAAGAGTAGGGGACAGGTAAGGAAGACATTAAAACACAAAACCTTTCACTCAAAAGTAGGTTGCAAAACAAAGTTCAAAAACATATGAAGAAATTTAATGCTAAGAAAGAAAAACCATAAAAACAGAAACTCATTTCAGATGCAATCTGTTCAGTGAGACCCACCAAAGATTTTAAAATAAGTATCTTGAGGATGTTCAGAGATATAAAAGAAAAAAAAAGACCCATCAAAAAAACAAGAAATAGAAAAAATAACAACGTACAGAAATAAAATAGTATCAGGTAGAATGAAAACACTAATTAGAAACCTTGGAAATGAAAAATATAGTCAGTGAAATAAAAAGAAACAATCGATGGGGTGTATTCTGGATGAACATAGTGAAGTGAGCTGGTGGTCAATTATAGATAGCATAAGAACTACCTGGAACTTAATATAGGCAGACAAGAAGATAAAAAATAGAAAAGAGGCATTAGACATAGATTGAGGTTGCAATGTTTGTTTAATGGAGTTCCAAGGGAAGAGACTGGAGGGAATGGTGGAGAAGCAATACAATATATGAAAAGATAACTACTGAGAATTTCTCAGAAATGAAGAGACTTGTACCCTCAAAATGAGAGTCCTGACTGAGTTTAGAATATGGCTATCTATGGTGTATAGACTGGGAGGGGGTACGGGAGCCTTGCAGCTTGTTGGAAATATTCTCTATCTTGCTCTAGCTGAATATATGTATATGTAAAAATGAACTGAGCTTATGCTTTCTGGCAAGTAATAACTTGATAAAAGTTTAAACAGAAAAAAAAAGTATTAGAGTGTATAAACATGAATACACATAAATACACTGTAGAGAAATTGCATACTATCAACAATAAAAACACAATAATAAAAGCTTTCAGAGGAAAAAAATCAGATTACCTCAATGGGATGCCAGACTGAGAGCACACTTCTCAGCAGCTGCTATAGAGGTCAGAAGAAAATGGAGAAATATCTTCAAAAAGCTGAGAAAAAATAACTGTCTAGAATTTTACATGTGGCCAAACTATCATTTAAGAATGAAGAAAAAATATTCTTTAGACATATAAAGGCTAAGAAAACTTATCACCTATTGATGAGTTATTACAAACTATAGTTCATCAAGAAGAAAAGTGGACACAGAGGCAACCCATGGGCTACAAGAAACAATTAGCAGAGAAGTTGATAAAAATGTTAACTATTAATCATTTAAAAGGTTATTTCTGAGTGTTTATAAATGTGTAAAGCTGAAAACTTTAAAAGGAATAAGATGAATAAAGGAATGTTCAGATTATCATTAAAGCATGCTAAGAATTTGATAAAGATAGGAGGAAAAAATACCAAATAATTCTAGACTTTATTGGCAACATTTAATTAAATATGTTCCTTAAAAACTTAATAGTATACACCAAAAACTGTGAAAAATAGAAATATCTATACAATTCAAAAAGCTGAAGAAACAGAAAATAATAAAAACGAACATCTAACTGAAGGCAGACACATGACAAGAAAAACAGAAAAGAATAAAAACAAAAAGGTAGAAATAAGTTCAAATGTGTCAGCAATAAATATAAATTGATTAAAACTACCTACCAAAAGCAGAGGTTATCAAAATGAATTAAAAAAAAATATGATAAATGTGGCTTATAACAGACCTAAAACAAAAACAATAAAGAATAAGGAACAAAAGAAATATGTAACATACAGATCACCTATTAGGAAAAGGGAGGGGGGGGGGGCTTGCTTTTTCTTTGTTATGGCTTTCCACAATTTTGAGAAGTATCTGGTAATTAAACCCAAAGATTGTTAGCTCCTCTGATTCAAACAGCCCCTCTTTTCAAATAGCAAGACAAGATAAGCTACTTTCAAGGCTACATGCTTGCAAATACCTCCTCCCTGCTGTTTTTACAACTCAGGGATAATTAGTACAAACTTCCCTTTCCCACTGCACTTCAAACAAGCCTCTTTGGAAAGCCTCATAACTTTTGCTCTAAGCATGTTTTACAGGCTTGGAAAAATACTGCTATGACACCTCCCTAGAACATCTGTAAGGGCTGCCTCCTGAAGAACAAATAAAACAAACCACAAGCTCCCCCTAATATCTGCTCAATTTCAGGTCCCAAATTCTCCTTCCATCCTTCCTTCCTTGTTGCTTAGCAATAGTCAGGGCTTAAAAAAGGAGGCTGCCCTTTGTTTTCTTGCCCTTGTACTAATTAACAATGCACTGGCCCTTTCCCCTTTGGGGAAAGTAAAATCAACTCCCTCTCTCTTACTATCTCTTCTCTCAGTTGGGAGTTCTTTCACAGCCCATATCACCAGCCAAAACCCTAACACACACCCCTCACACACACACCAAAAAACAGTTGGTACAACATTATTAATAGGCATACTCAACAGAAGAACATGAAGATAAATCTAAAATACTAAGAAAACAAATATACCCTGAAAGTTCACTGTACAGAAACTACTTCATTGCACACCAAAATTTTCACAGAGGTGGTTATAATACCTTAGTTAAAATAGTTCAGAACCACCAATATATACTGTATTGATGAAATAAACTCATCTGTTAGATAATATTTAGTGAACACCCTAAAAGAAAAGGTGCTTGGTCTGACTCCAAAGAGATTTTTTTTTTAATGAACAAATATTTATTGAAAACGCATTAGTGCACTGAAGATAAAGAATTGAAGGGTGGGGGAGGAGTTAAGATTTCTGGCCTCAAGAAGCTTATTTACTTTCTAGTGAAAAGTTAATTGGAAATTACAATAAGATTAGGTGAACTCAGAATGCTATGGGTATATTCAGAATGGGCATCTATTTCAATTTTTGGAAGGTAAAGGACATCTAATCTGAGCCTTAAAAGATGAAGGGGAGATAATGAAGTAAATGGGCAGTAATCCAGGCAGAAGGCACAACATATCCAAAGTCCTGGAGGCAAAAGAAAACAGAGAACTTTGGAGGGTCTTCCTAACAGTACCTGAGAAGGGTTGAGATATTAGGATGGTCAGGCAAGTAGGAATCAGCTAAAAGAAGACTGTTAGTTACATGTTATACAAAGAAAGCTACAGCAACAGATTATACATTCTTACTTCTTTATAAGACAGATGTTTTAGTAGTTAAAATAGACTGTACTTCAAAAGGAAAAGATCACACCTTTATGTTTCTGCTGTAACCATGGAAAAAAACTGAACCAGGCAACCTAGCAATTAAATACTTCTTCTAGAGACCTAGAAAAAGAGAAAATGTTTTATCACTTGAGCTCACCTATTCCATATTCTAAATATCCTTTAAGAATCACCCATAAACTCTACTTCAGCCATAGATCAACCTAAATGATTTTGTTCCTGTTCCTGAATTCTTATAGTTGTAATTTATTTGCAATGAATCAGAAATTGCATTATAAAATGTTATGTTGCTATTATTAATTACTTTTTAAAAAAATTAGGTTTCCCTCTACTAGCAGACTATGGGCATCTTCACAATAGGAACAGGACACATCTTAAGTATTTTATAGTCTACCTAATTCCCCAGGCTAGTACCTTACAGATAATGAGTTTGAGATTAAAACACTTTAGAAAAAAAAATTACAATAATTTCACACATCCTCATTTCCTCAGAAGGTATACAGCAAACTGTCGCATTTAAAACAGCATCTTATTATGTAAGAGCACAGTACTCTTAATTTATCATGAAACTAAGGTTCAATCTACCAATTAACCAAACATAATGTAAATGCCAAAAGAAAATTCTGAGATCCAATAATGAGCCAGGAAGATTCCAAATATACTCAGTGCAGCCTTGCCCCACAATTTCGCACTATAATTAGAAAAGCTGCAAAGCAGAGTAGTTACAAGGAACTCTTCCAACTCAGACACGTTTGAGTCTAAGCTCTTGACCAAGTTACATAATCTCTCTGACTCTCAAAAAAGTTTTGAATGTGCAGCTATGTTAAAAACAAAATCACAGAACTGGAAATGTTATGTTAACTCTTCACACACATTTTCAAATAATACTTTGCAACATCATTCCATGAAAATGTTAGGTGTGTTATTAATAACCATCAAAAACCAAGACTCATTCTACCTCCCTAGTCCATACCCTATTATTTCAAACAGATCAGTCAACAAATATTCATGTACAAGACATTATACTAAGCACAGGGTATAAATACAACAGTAAGATATGGTTCTGTCCATAAGTTAATAGTCGAGAGAAGATGAGAAGCTAGGACAGAGCACCATGGTCGGTGTGAGGCGACAGGCGGTTCCTCAGCAGCCATGTTGATGGCTGACTGGTTGCAGAAAGAGATGACAGCCTTGCAGTGTCCCTGTGCCAACTCTTCCTGGTGCAGATGAGGTGGAGCGGGCCCGGAGCAAGAGTGCGGGCCCCAGGAGGGGCCAGAGCAGAGGCCCGCCCGGGGGCCGCTCCCCAGCACCGAAGCCAGCGTCATCATCCTGTTCCTTTGTCCCGATGGGTAGCTGCCAGAGCTGAGGAACGGAGTATAAAGAGGCTTCCCTTTCTCTTTAAACAGTCTGGGTAGGAAGTAGAGTTTTGATGAAACACAGTTCATGGTGGTGTTTATGTTATTAATGAAACACATCCTGTGGTTTTTATAAAATAACTTTGTTCTGACAAAAATTAAGAATAAAAGTCTTCATTTAAAAGATGTGTGTGGTAGCCCTAGCCAGTGTGGCTCAGTTGGTTGGAGTATCATTCCTTGCACTGAAGGGTCACCTGTTTGATTCTGGTCAGGGTACAAACCCAGGTTTTGGGTCCAATCCTAATTGGGGTGTATATGGGAGGCAATCGATCGATGTTTCTCTCTCACCTCAATGTTTCTCTCCCACTTCCTCTCTCTAAAATCAATAAAACAAAAAAAAAATCCTTGAGTGAAGATTAAAAAAAAAAAGATGTGTGTAGTAGTTGTGGCAGGGGCGAGTTAGTTTTTATCTGTAAAACCAAGTAAATCAAACCTACTTTAATGTTCATTAAAGAAAAAAAATACTTTTGTGCTATGTTGAACCATCATGACAACCATGATTAGAGACAAAAGTAACTCAACTGTTTATTCAACAAATATTTACTAATTGCTCTTACGTGTAAGACATTGTATAAGACACTTCAGTAAAAAATAGACCTGCTTCAGGAAGTCCCTAATCAGAGGAAAGAAGAGTAAAAACAAACAAGCAGCAATGCCAATTCCACCCAATCAGTGCCTACAGCAATGTGGGAAGCTAGAGGAGCAGCCCCCAGTAAGCAAGTCTGCCAACTCTTCTCATTTAATCAGACACAAGATACTATTTGCATGGCCCAAGACCCCAGGCAATCTGGCTCCTAGGCCATCTGAGGTTCTGCCTAGAGGGCTGAGGGCATGAGTAGCAGTTTGAGAAGGAAATGGCTAGGTAAAGTGATAACTCCCTTACACTCTCCTGACCTCTTATATTTTAGTAGAGGCCCGGGTACATGAAATTCGTGCGGGGGGGGGGGGGGGGGGGCGGGGCGGTGAGGGGCGTGTCAAGGAGGCCCTCAGCCCGGCCTGCGCCCTCTCTCAATCTGGGACTGCTGGCTCCTAACCACTCACCTGCCTACCTGATCGCCCCTAACCACTCTGCCTGCCTGATGGCCCCAACTGCTTGCCTGCCTGCCTGATGGCCCCTAACCACTCTGCCTACCTGCCTGATCACCCCTAACCACTCGACTGCCTGCCAGATCACCCCTAATTGCTTGCCTGCCTGCCTGATCGCCCCTTACTGCCTCTGCCTCGGCCCCCACTGCTGTGGCTTCGTCTGGTATGACGACTGGAAGGTTGTTTGGCTGTCCGGTGTAATTAGTGTTTTACGCTTTTATTATTATAGATTGCACTGTTCATTACAGGTACCTGACCTACGTGGTGAATGGTTATTGTACTGGATGATGCAGACAAGAACATTTCCATCACCACTAAAAGTTCTGCTGAATAATACTGTAACCCAAAATTCCATTCACCAATTCTAAAATAACGACATAACAGAAATACTAACAGGAGTAAAAAAGCAGTGATGGAATACTATTTACTAACAAAAGAAATGAACTGTTGATACATACTACAATATGAAAGCACCTTAAAATCATGCTAAATGGAAGAAGTCAGTCACAAAAGACTATATCTCTCTCTCTCTCTATTTATCTATATGTCTGTCTATCTATCTATCTATCTATCTATCTATCTATCTATCTATCTATCTATCGTAGTATATATAGATTCTATTTACATATGTCCCGAAAGCAAAACTTTAGAGACAAAAAGCAGCTCTGGGTTAAGTCTAGTGATGTAGGAAAAGGGACTGCAACCAGGCAATACGTATCTTTTGAGGTGATGGAAATATTCTAAAACTGTATTGTGATGATGGTTGCAAAACTCTATAGATTTACTAAAAGTCATTAAATTGTGCACTTAAAAAAGGTAAATGTCATGTTGTGTAAATTATACCTCAATAAAGCTGTGTTAAAATAGAAGTATACTGAAAAAATTGATATTTGGGAAATAACCATTTCAAAAAATTTCCATTTTAGCACCACAAACACATTTATAAAAACACCCCAAATAAATAAAAATCAAAGCCTCTTCTAGCAGCAGATGTCAGATACCCATACAACTTCTAGTGGTACCGAGTGATAACACTTCAGTGACAAACTCCTTCAAGACAGCTTTACTTCTGAAGTTTTACACACTATATTATAGTTTACAACGAACACAACACTACCTAAACATTCCCAGTCCCATGTCAGAAGGAATAGCCACATAAATGACGGAAGAGAGGTAACAGTGAGAGCAGCAGCAGCGACCAGCACTGAAGAAGCACACTCCGTGTGTTCCAGACACCACGTGGCCAAGTTCTCCATGTAATTGTCTCAGCCTGGCTCTGTGCCAGTGTTTCATAAGATGCTCTTAAATATCTCAAGAAAGAAAATAATGTTTTTCATCCACTCAAAAATTCTCTCACCAAAGGGGCAACAAGGACATTTTCTTTTTTTAAAAAATTTTTTAACAAAATTGACCTTTAATTAAACCGAAAATGTCAGAAGCACACTTTCCACCCCAATAACAAACTTGTGGGATTACATACAGCTCAACTCACCTTTCAAGAGATGCTGTGTTACCTACCACTTCTGAAGTGTTATCTCTACTAATTTTATGATGCATATTCTTTACTTAATCCTCAGATGGAAATGAATTATTCTAACACTCATTCTAAAACTACTTTTCAAACAGTCATTAGAGCAACAAAGATGGGAATAATTTATATGCTATATTATTTGCATGTTTTTGTGACTTAAAAAAACAAGAAAATGAAATTAAGTTATTAGAGAATTCTAAAGCCAGGAATATACCTTACATCTCATCTAGTTCAATTCATTCCCAGATATTTCATGGCAGAGTGGGAACCCCAGAAGACAAACCACGATTTCTAGGCCAGCATTCTTTTCACTGCACACTATTGCCTTGCCTTAAAACACACACACGACTTTAGTAATAGTAGCTGTGAATAACAGTCTCAGATTTTCAAGAAAATTTAAAGACTGAACTGCTATCCATTAAAAGTCACCACATTAACCTTCTCTTCAAAACAAATCAGATTCATAATTAGATACAACACTTCCTTTTCATGAAAAAAATTTCAATCCTCTTAACATTTAAAGGTCTAAACTCATTGTTTTAAACAATGGTGATCATACATTAATAAGAACTCAAGATAAATTTTAAACACATAGCTATTAAGAGAAAAAGGTATGTAAAAAGTTTGCTGCCAGAAAATAAATGATTTGAATACAGAATGACTGAACCAAGTTATTATAAATTATCAAGTTCTAAACATACTTAGACATATACAATCATACCCATGTGTACAGCACATAAATGTTAAAAGCAAATTATGCTCAATTAAATCACAAAGGCGATGAACTTAAAAAAGAAGCCAGTGAATTATTGAGAACCAAGGATTAATATTGCTCTCAATTATTTGTAGTGTATTAGCAAAGAAACATTCCTCCTCAGTTAACAGGACATGGAATTTTAAGAGCAATCTCCTTGAAAATGTGCTCCATGGGCTTAAAGTACATCTTGGCTTGTCCTATCTAAAATCGCACATTGTAATCAAAAGGAAAAAAGAACAGAATGATGAGACAATTTGGCTCTTGGCTCTTCATCATACTCTCCATATAATGGTTGTGAATAACTTATCAGATCACCAGTGAGCTAGAAGTCTGAGAGATAAATGTGGTCAAAAGAATCCTCTTATCTACTTGCCTATCAGTTCTCAAAGTGTGAAAAAATTTAATCTTTTATAGTAACCCTGAAAGGCTGTTCTTGTCTCAATTACTATTTAATGATACCAACACTCTATCATACTGAACATGGAAATAGCCAAAGCTCTGCAATTTATCAGGAAAAGGAAATTTAAAAATAGATTCCAAGTAATTACATTTTTTTTTATAAAGATGAAACTTTCTTAGATACTGATAACAATTTTAAATGATGGCAACAGCCATGCAGAGCCAAATACTCAATGTTCTTCCTATTGAAGCACTGGCTGTTTCAATTATACGACATGTCTTTCTCAAATTCTAGAAACAAATTTATAATGTGGAAACTAAAAGTTAAGTATAAGGACTAAAACTTGGGAGGAAAAAAACCTTAAAATATTTTACCATTCTCAGCTTATGGAAGGTTATAGGCTGAACCCAGAAAACTTCTGCTACACTAACATGGAAAAATTTTGTTTAAACAAACTTAACTAGAAGAGGAACCCAATTTACTGCATTTACCATGTACTATGTAATACAACTGATTTTTTAAAATTGTTTTATTGCTTAAAGTATTACAAAGAGTATTATATATGTCTCCCTTTTTTTTCTCCCCTGGACCCTCCCCTAGCCTCCCATGCCCCCCAGTGTCTTGTGTCCATTGGTTATGCTCGTATGCATGCATACAAGTCCTTTGGTTAATCTCTTACCCCCCCACCCCCCAACCTTCCCCAGCCTTCCCGCTGTAGTTTGACAGTCTGTTCGATGTTGCTCTGCCTCTGATTTTTAAAAATAATCAAATAACACAAGACAGTAGTAATGTACTTGCTCACCTTCCTTTTTCAGCCATTTCACAATGTTCCCTTCTTCCATTGTCGGAGACAGGGATGGCATTAGTATCTTAATAGGATCAGCTAAAATTGAAAAAAGGAAAGATTAGCCACAAACATACAATGCACCTTACAAAGCATCAATAGAAAGTTCAAGTAAATTAATATCAAATTCAATTTGAGAAAGAAAATATTCCAAAGTTGAAAAGACTCCCACCTGGTCAAACTAAGTATCCAGGAAATAGTATAGAAACATGAAATTCTCAACTTTTTAAAAATAAATTTTTTTGAATTATTTTCAACTCCTTTCTCATAGTTCCCCAGTACTCTGTGCATATTTTTAAGCCAGATGTTTATAAGATTAAAAAATAGAAAAGTTGATTTATGTTTCATTTTCTCCATCCCTTTTTGTTGATGCAAAAAAATATTTACAAATAAAATGATCAAAGAGAAAGATAAGAAGAAGTATCTAGGGTTCTGATAACCTACAAAAAATAATCAAGATTAGACTTTAACAAACTAGTTGTGTTTTTATTTTCCTCTAATATTATATTATTCAAGAATCAAAGGTTCTTGCTAGTATATGTGAAAGGAAAGGTATGCTTTGTCAAGCTTGACCAGGCAAGTGAACCTAAGTGGTTAGTTAAATTAACCTCAGATTGTGTTCCATACCACCATTCAACTGGGGATACAAAAAGGTAGACTCAAACCAGGGTGACCTCTCAATGAAGCACAGCTTTTCCTTAGATATCAGAAAAGGAGATGCCCTATATATTTGCCCAGATGTGCTTCCCAATAGTCACCCACTAAACAGGACCATGTTCATAGAGCACACAGCTGCAAGATCACAATTTATATAAAGTTTATACTAATAAAATTGTTAACAGCATGCTCCAGCTCTAGCAGTAGCCATGGTAACAAATTATAGTCCATGAAATCTTTCATAGAACCTATTCTCTCCTCAGATTATTCAGCAATCAAAACACAACTGCGTATCTACCATATTTCAAATGTGGAATATTTTACCGCTAATATTAAATGAAGTTAATTATTTTCTTTGGGAAACTGAAGGAATTTTACTATAATTTCAAATGAAGAGTTCCAACAGCTTCATGATAAAGGAATTCCTCTGAAGCATTTGGAAGGAAGCTTCTGTCCTTGTCCCTTTTCACCCCTTCCTCTCTAAAGGTCTGGGAAAAAGACCTGAGTGAATACTTGCCTTTGTCTTTTCCTCATTTTCTTTTAAGAACTGCCTACTTGGAGGGGTACCGCTAGGTACATATATCACCTTTTTCACTTTTTACATGAAATGAAAATGTTTACATGGCGTAATGAAAAACAAACAAGCACATTTGCCTACAGAATGTCCAGCCAGCCTAAGCCTGAGCATTTAATTTTTGAGAATCAGGTTTTGAAAATGAAAACCAATATAAATAAACCTACAATCTAATAGCACCATGATAAGAGGCCAGCCTCTCCTTGAAAGAGACAGCTTAAAACAAATCCCAGTTTGTTGCTTCTAAGAAAAAGGTCAAGGCTGGCATTATGAGAGAATATTTCATAGGCACATACATATTAAATTTATATCAAATAGAGTTCCACTTCAAAGAAGCAAAATAAATGGACCTCATTGCTTCTGAGTCCAGATTCTAATTTATGACAAACACTAAATCAATTTTCTCAAAACAAAGTCTGTCTTCAATATTTTTACATCTTGGTTCTAGCTGCCGTGATACAATTCATATTTGTTTTATGATTTTTTCTGCCATTATAATCTCTCACCTAACAGACCTTCACATTTCCATTATTCCTGACATTAAGGACTATATTATAAAACTTCTGCATTTATTATTGTTTTCAAAATTACCACATCAAAAGCCACAAAATTGTTCATATTTTAAAATAAAAAGAATATAATCATTCCTAATACAGCCAGCCTTCATGGATGAATTGAAATTGCTTCTCTGAATAATAACGATAAAATATAAAAATTGTGTAATAAATCACTATCCTTATTCTGAAATGAAGGTGACAAAAAACAAAGACAGACATTTTAGACATCTCCATTATTCAGTAATATCTTTTGATTGATCATACTGGCTTACTATGGAAAGTAAAATGTGCAATGTATTTACTTTTTTAAAAATTCTTTATTGTTTAAACTATTATATATGTCTCCTTTTTTCCTCCATTTGTATTTTCTGATTAATCTAACTAATCTATCCTCAAACTGTCATGTTGGAAAATAATTTCAAACATAAGCATTAATTTATCAATAATGGTACATATTTCATTCTAATATATATCCTCTTTCAACTGGAACATTATACACATCTTTTTCAAATGTATTTTTCCAGTGGAAAAGTAATTATACAAGCATAATATCGGCTTTGAGTGACAGAGCTGCACATAATTAATATCCGCCCTTTATGGTTGCCATAAATTCCAGAGATAGTATGTGGGCTTTTCTAGGCCTCTCAGAATTTTAACCTATACCTAATATTGTTTAATCTCAATAGAAATCAAATATAGCTTCCCTTTTCATCCCAGTAAGCAGTACATTCTACCCTTCTCCTGTCAAATTGAGGAGGCCTTGAAATGTGCACCAAGTTATATTTCCTATGAAAAACTGGGCACACTCTTGGGTAAGAATAAAGGAAGTGTGGTCTCCCCCCCTCCTGCTGGTCATTCAGGCTATTTCAATTAGTAAAAACGCCACAATTAACTTTAAAAAATACCCCCAATTTTTTGTTAGAATTTAATCCCTTTGAAGTCATTTTAGTGGTCTATTCCTTTCTATCAAGCTAACAAACTACACTAATGGCTAATAAAGTCTGTCCTTCTGTAGCAATTTAAAAAATATTCAAAGTAACTACAGTAATGCACATTTTCAGACTATATGTAAATTAAATATATATTATGATTTGATTTTTAATTTTTAAAAATATATTTTCGTTGATTTTTAGAGAGAGAAGGGAGAGGGAGAGAAACATTAATTGGCTGTCTCCTGCACGCCCCCTACTGGGGATTGAGCCCACAACCCGGGCATGCAACCGGCGACTCGGTTCTTGGGTCAACAACTACTGAGCCACACCAGCAGGGCTATATGCTGATTTTAAAAGTAGAGTCTCCGAAGTCATTCAAACTGTCTTAATCTTTTTTCTTTTTCATCAAATGAATGACACAAAAAATTAAACTGTTTTGCTTAGCATATTGCTGCTTTACCTGCTACATCAGGCACACAAGCAATCTTTCAATCACTGAATTGTATAGCAGCTCTCTAAGCAATTCTTACATTTCTTCAAATTTGCTCTTCCAATCTTTCTACAGCATAATTCTGCCTTCCACATCAAATACAGTACACGGATAAAATTCTAGTTTCTTATTCCTTAAAGTATTTATTTTGCCCTAAGAGCAAAACACTTCTACTTCAAGGCAAAATCAATTACGTGTATATCAAAGCTTTAAATTGATGATCTAGATCAGTTCTAAAAGTTCTCCAGACTAAAAAAAAAAAAAAGGAAAAAAGATAATATACGCATACAAATGCAGATCAAATTGCTTTATGGCTAACATGAAGCAGATCTTAGCTCCATTATGCTGACTAGAGTAATTAAGGAAGTCAGCAGTTTATACAGGGTACAGCTCGAGAGTTATTCTGGCCCGTTTATACCACTAGAATCCAAACACAAAAATCATGAAATGCAGATAGACCAATGAAGAAGGAAATTACCCAGTACTTTCTTAGTATGGCTCCCTGTTCCTAACATTAATTTGCTTCTCTAATAGGGAGAGATACTGCTCATTTAATTACCTCTCTTTTCAAGGCAAGAACTCATTAAGTTTAATTGAACCTTTAAAACTTCCATACAAAGAAAACAATTCTGCCACCTGCAGGCTGAATAAAATAAAGCAGAACGGAGTATAGGGGTAATAAAAACACATTGAAAATATCAATGGATGACAATAGAAAATGCATGCATAACAGTCTGTATGAAAATAGCATTTATAAGTCTTGGCATGGTACAAAAACATGTAAGAGATGCCCCAAACAGTATATATGGCATAATCTAATTTCTACTACCTGCTCAGCTTGTACAAAAAGACTGAAAGGATATACTCCAAAATGACAATAATAGATATATCTAGATGGTGATATTATTCTAAGTCAGTGGTTCTCAACCTTCCTAATGCCGCGACCCTTTAATACAGTTCCTCATGTTGTGGTGACACCCAATTTCATTGTTACAGATTGAACATAATTAAAGCATAGTGATTAATCACAAAAACAGTATGTAATTATATATGTCTTTTCCAATGGTCTTAGGCGGCCCCTGTGAAAGGGTCGTTCGACCACCAAAAGGGTCGCGACCCACAGGTTGAGAATCACTGTTCTAAGTGGTTTTCATTACCTTTGTTTTTTATAGCCTACACTAGAGGCCTGGTGCACGAATGCATGCACTAGTGGGGTCCCTTGGCCTGGCCTGTGGGAACCGGCCCAAACCGGCTCTCCAACATCCCCTGAGGGGTCCTGGACTACGAGAGGGTGCAGGCCAGGTTGAGGGACCCCCACTGGTGCATGATTGGGGCCGGAGAGGTTGGCCAGCCGGGGAGGGACTGTGGGAGGGCTCCAGGCGTGTCCAGCCTGTCTAGCTCAGTTCCAATAGGCCGGGCCCCAGCAGCAAGCTAACCTACCGGTTGGAGTGTCTGCCCCCTGGTGGTCAGTGCACATCATAGCAAGCGGTTGAGCAGCCTTAGCATATCATTAGCCTATTACGCTTTGGTTGAATGGCCGATTGGACACTTAGAATATTAGGCTTTTATTATATAGGATGTTAACTTTCTACAATAAATTTACCTAATTTCACTTTCTCCCCAAACTTATCTAACATCTAAAAAAAAGTTTACTTTTGTTTTTGTTATTTTTAAACACAAACCCACAAGGTCAGGGAGAAAAGAAGGGGCGTCTCTCAACTACTGACTAGCCTAGATTTGCTTTGCTTAGATGATCATACTTAGCCATTACTTACCCTAGAAACAATTAAAATTAAGAAGCACTTCACTACTGTTGTACTTTAATTTACCTGTCATAGTAACAGACATGCCAATCAGTGATTCCCAACTCATACTTCCTTTTTAAAAAGAAAATGTCCAAACCACAGCCTTTGAAAGAATCTGCTCTATGTGCTCTGGTACGATTAGCCTACATTGGGTCAACAGCTTCACTCCAGGGAATCTGGAATTAGATCAAAGAGGTAGTGCCCACTTAAACTAAACTGAAAGAGCGTGCGGCATAGGGCCTGAATCAGCATTAAGGCAAGACAAGCTGACATTATAAAGAAAGGAAAGCCATGAGTAAACAGATTCGCAAGTTTACGAAGAAAAACAAAGTAAATCAAAGAAAGAGAGAAAGACGGACATTGGGAACCATAGAAGAAATGGATGAAATCATCATAGTTCCCCCATGGCCCAGCAGCACTTCATATATGTGCTACCATATCCTTATAATAAATCTTATTTTTACTTCAGCTATTCTGTTTGTTGCCACATTTATTCAAAGAACAGTATCAGTCTTATCAGTATTAGCATAGAAGCACTTAATAAGGATCAGGCCTAAAATGGTATTCATGCTTTGGCAGAAATACTGTACCATTAACTCTTATCAAAGAATCTGCCTGTCACGGAACTGCTATCAAAAACTCAGATGCCGCCCTAACTGGTTTGGCTCAGTGGATAGAGTGTCGGCCTGCAGACTGAAGGGTCCCAGGTTCGATTCCGGTCAAGGGCATGTACCTTGGTTGCTGGCACATCCCTAGTAGGGGGTGTGCAGGAGGCAGCTGATCGATGTTTCTCTCTCATTGATGTTTCTAATTTTCTATCCCTCTCCCTTCCTCTCTGTAAAAAAAAAAAAAAAAAAAAAAAAAAAAAAATATATATATATATATATATATATATATATATATATTAAAAAACACACAAAAAAACTCAGATGCTTACAGGGCAGTGGTCGGCAAACTCATTAGTCAACAGAGCCAAATGTCAACAGTACAATTGAAATTTCTTTTGAGAGCCAAATTTTTTAAACTTACACTATATAGGTAGGTACACTGTTGTTAATTTAATTAGGGTACTCCTAAAGCTTAGGAAGAGCCACACTCAAGGGGCCAAAGAGCCGCATGTGGCTCGCGAGCCGAAGTTTGCCAACCACGGCTACAGGGAATAATCAGGTGAAAGAAATGGGCTAGCAACATCTAATGCTTTTTTCTTTAGATCTAGACATGCTTTATGTTTATATTAAATCTGTAAAAACTCTCTTCCCTTCTATACACACAGTATCTGTCCTCTGCTACTTTTCCTGGTCTACCTTTTGTCTTCTGCTTTCTACAACAGATAAAGATACAAGAAAGAAATGACAACTAGAGGTGATGACATATACCAAGGCACATACAGCCTTGCTGGCTGGGAAGTAATAGTGGAAGGTGGTAAACTAGAAAGTAATTTACTACCTAAAGAGAACAATCGTTACTCAGTTTTAACTAACTGTCACCATATAGACCAGTGATGGTGAACCTTTTGAGCTCGGCATGTCAGCATTTTGAAAAACCCTGGTGCCATGCCACATATAGAAATTTTTTGATATTTGCAAACATAGTAAAACAAAGACTTATATTTTTGATATTTATTTTATATATTTAAATGCCATTTAACAAAGAAAAATCAACCAAAAAAAAAAATGAGTTCGCGTGTCACCTCTGACACGCGTGTCATAGGTTTGCCATCACTGATATAGACCCTAAATTTAAATTTTCAAGAAAAGACAAAAATCTAGATTTTTACATAAAAATTTTTTATTTTATCTATCTATCTATCTGGGATTAATCCTCGCCCAAGGATGTTTTTTCTGCCATTGATTTTTAGAAAGGGTGGAAGGGAGGGAAGAGACAGAGAGAGAGAAACATCCATGTGAGAGAGACACATGGATTGGTTGCCTCCCACACCCGTCCTGACCAGGGGCTGGGAACCAACCCCTGCAATCAAGGTACATGATGCCCTTGACTGGAATCGAACCCTCAACCCTTCAGTCTGAGGGCGACTCTCTAACCACTGAGAAACCAGCGAGGGCAAAGTTTCTAGTTTGTAAATGTTGTCAATAAATTTAATTTTCTCCTAAAATGATATAGGTCAGTTCATTGGCTGCCAATTTGCAATCATAGTGTGGAGCTCTGTATTCTTTTATAACTTTTCAGATTTTTAGTTTCCCTAGATGTTTATTTAACACCCAAAATACGCAAGGCCTGTAGCTATATATTAGGCAAAAGCACTACAAAGGTTGAGCCTCATTCATTTTTCTCCTCACGTTATTTTAAATTTAACATGTATTCCTCAGGAAGAACTTAAAACCAATATTAACATCTTAGTTATTAATTAAATTCAAAATCATGCCATTCAGTCTAAAAGGGCAGCGATGGAAGCTCTTCAAAATTAACTGCCTAGACTAGTTTGAAAACCTGTTTACAGATGCTATGTCACGTATGTAAATACACATCTGGCATCTGGGCCTTTGCATCTGCTGTGCTTTTAGCCTGGGAGGGCTGCCACCTTTAGGAAGCCTTATGTTCTCCCTTACTATCCTCAACTTACCTCTCAGAGCTCACTACACACACTATTGAAATCATACCATTATTCTTTACTTCCCCAAGAAGACTATACCCACCTTAAGAATAAGGCCTGTAACAGAAGTTAGGGCTGCAGCTCCAGGAGCATGGCAAAACAAAAGCATGCAGGTGAAAAGGTAGGAGACAAATTTTGGCTCAGTATTAGAGGGAAAAAAAAAGAAAATCCAAAACTTCAAATAACTTGGAGCTACCCAACAACACAATCAGCTTCTGTGGTGGGCAGAACAACGTCCACAGCCCCCCTTCACTGCCACCCCATGAAAGATGGCCAGGTCCTAACAACCAGAACCTGTGAATATGTTACGTTACACAGCAAGGGCGAGTTAAGGTTGCGAGTTAAGGTTTAAGAAGGAGCTAAAGTTGCTCAACAGCTGACCTTGACACCGGAAAGCATCCTATATTACCCACGCGGGCCCAATGTAACCACAAGGGTCTTTATATGTGCAACAGGGCGGCCTAGGAAAAGAATACAGCTTCCTTGGGGTGCAGCGTCCTGTTCCTTACAGAGGATGCTCAAGCAGAGGTAGTGTTCACCGGGTGGGGGGTAGGGGGAGGGTCAAATGTCACCACACATCAGATAAGGATCGCCTAAGTGAGTTTCTGAAGGCATGCGTCCTTCAGCTGGGCTCAAGGAACACCTCTGAACCTGCATGAACACAGGCCCCTTTCTCTGTGGAGACGATCGGGACTAGAGCATCCAAACCATTCTCAAAAGGATCTGTTTTACAGACAAGGTTAAACACACTCTTCCCAGGTTATTTCCAACCCTGGGCTTTTACTAGTCCATGATTTCTCTAAGGCAGTGAGTCCGTCTCAAAGTGTAAGCCCAACAAACACCAACACAAAACATCAAAACTCATCCAACCCCAGACATCTCTCTGGGGGCTGTAGGAAAAGTTCAATAGTTAATAAACTGGGAGGAAAGAAAAGTCTAGACACAGTTAAAAACAAAACAAAACATTGTTCTAAGTACTTTATGAAACATTAATCTGAAGAAACTGAAATAAGTCGTTCCCATCACCAAATCCTTAGAAATCTGAGTGTACTCATCTTACCGTGTCGCTTTGTGTAACTTTTTTTTTTTTTTACCCCCCTGAGCCTAGGGTAGCCCAGAATGTAGGCAAATATCTACTGCACCTAATTTTTTTAGATTAAAATTCATTCTGTGTAGCGCCAGAATGATGACTTTCAAAAAATGTTAGTCCTAGGACCCCGCCCCACCCACGTGTAAAGAAAAAATAATGCCTTATGCATACACGGTTAAGTACCGGAAGAATTGTTAATTATGTCAATCATCATTAATAAATGCGGGTTTCCTATAATAAACTTCATGATCTGATGTCCCCGCCTAATTTTTCACTCTTTCACGCTCACGCTTGGCCGGACCTATGGCCGGGGCGCGGGAGGCGTTTACAAACCAAGTCCTTTGCCGGCGTCGCGCGGAGCAACCCGAGGGCCTAGCAGAGAAGACCTCCCGCTCCACAAGCGCCGCAAGAACGAACGACAGCCCAAAGTGGCTTTTTGAACCTCAGCAACCTCGGCAGCTTTTCCCTGACGGGGACGCCTGACGACCCTAAAGGAACCCGAGCCGCGACTGGGAAGGGGCCTGAGGGAAGGGCGTTTGGGACTTATCTTCGCGCCTTTCCAAAGAAACAAACACCCAAATTCCAAGGCAAGGTCAAGGGAAGCCATACCAACCCGGGGGCCCCAGACAGTCAGGCTCTCCCAGCTCCCAAGGAAGCCCTTCGGGGCATGCACTTACCAGGCGGCCAAGTCAGCTGACCCCCGTCCCGAGAGAAGGCCCAGGGATCAGAGAGCCCGAGTAGGGAACAGAGAGCCCGAGTCCCTCCGCACCCAAATGCAGGCCCTCCAAGGAACAGCCCTTGCCTGACCCAGGCCCAGCGTTCAGCTCCACAGAGAAGCCGAGCGAGCCGCGACCACTCACCCCGCAGCCACTGCGTGCTGTGAAGCCATCTCCAAGCAGCCCCGCCGCCGGCAGGCCACCCAGCAGCCCCCGTAACCAGCCCCAGGCCTCGCCGGGCGCCGAAGCCTAGGAGAGAGCGCAGCATCCGCCGGCCACAGCCTAGCCTCCAGGAGGCCGCCATCTTTCCGGCCTTTTCGCAGGCTCCCCACGGCGCTGCCTGCTCACTCAGTCTCAAGCCCCTCCCAGGCCCCGCCTCTCACCCTTCTAGCCACGCCCCCTAAGTTCCAGTCGCGCCCTTGAGTCTCCGTTAAAGCCTCTTAGCCCCGCCCCCAGCCTCGTTGGCCCCGCCTCCCGGCCAGGCTGCAGCGCCGCAGGCTCCCCAGTCAGCGAGGCCCGCCCCTCGCCTGGTTCGCCCCGCCCCTGTGCTGTCCTCAGATCCGCCTGATTGTATTTCAGATCTCGCCTCGGTCGTCCAGGCGGGTCGCTGGGAGCAAGGGCGCGCGAATATTGGTTGAAGGTCCCTGGTCCCCTTAGTCTGGGCCATGTCTGACGGTCCCGCTCAGGAGGGAGACTGCTGCCGGCGGCGAAGCTGCGCGCAGGTAGGGGCGGGGCCGCCAGTGCCTTTTATTCCGAAGAGGCGAGGCGATGGGGGGGACGCGGCGGAGGCTTCCGGGCGGCTGGGGCGCAATCCCCACGCGACCCCCGCGCGCTGCAGCCCACGCTCTACCGGGCGACCTGCAGGCTCGCGCCGCGCCCGTGGCTGGGCTGTGTCCCACAGCGGGAGCTGGGCACCTGAAACGTTAAGGAAAGGAAAAATAACGGAGGAGAGCCTTCAGTGTGTGTTTCAAAGCAGCTTATCATTATCATCAGGAAGACAGGCCAGTCGAGGAAACTTGCAGCCCTGAAGTGAACTGGAGCAAAGACTGAGCTCTCTGGCGTCCCTGTGCGCCATGGCGACCAGCCCGATGTTCCCAAAGCACGCCCTAGGGCCTAGGCACACGGGGAACCTTCGCCTGGACTGGAGCTGTGCCTCAGTAGCCAGCACCTTCCCTCTGAGCAGTTTTTCTGCCTCAGTTTAGACTCGCAGCGGTTCTCAACCTGTGCATCGCGACCCCTATGGGGGTCGGACGACCCTTTCATAGGGGTCGCCTAAGACCATCGGAAAAAACATATAATTACATATTGTTTTTGTGATTAATCACTATGCTTTAATTATGTTTAATTTGTAACAATGAAAATACATCCTGCATATCAGATATTTACATTACGATTCATAACAGTAGCAAAATTACAGTTATGAAGTAGCAACGAAAATAATTTTATGGTTGAGGGGGTCAGCACAACATGAGGACCTGTATTAAAAGGTCTCGGCATTAGAAAGGTTGAGAACCACTGGTTTAGAGTGATGATGGGATGGCCATAGACACGATTCTTCCCTAAATGAGGTCAAAGGAAAAATCCACCCTGGGCCTGTGTATGCTTTTCATTTACTTAGACACACGCAACAGTTTTATGAAGCACCTATGTGCTCATTGGTGCAGTGATGATTAAGACAGATGGCCTAGGGCTGTGGTCGGCAAACTGCGGCTCACGAGCCACATGCGGCTCTTTGGCCCCTTGAGGGTGGCTCTTCCTAAGCCTTAGGAGTACCCTAATTAAGTTAATAACAGTGTACCTACCTATATAGTTTAAGTTTAAAAAATTTGGCTCTCAAAAGAAATTTCAATCATTGTACTATTGATATTAGGCTCTGTTGACTAATGAGTTTACCAACCACTGGCCTAAGGTGTAGGAATACCAGGCAAATAAACAACTTCCATACATTGTGAGAAACCTTGCTTATGAAGCAGAGATCAAATTAGCCCCCCTTTCTCTCCCCCATTATTCTTTCTTAAGGCTGAAGGTCCCAATTAAAAAGTAATAACCAGCCAGAGAGTTTGTGAAATACTTGGGGAGGTGAGATTTTCCTCTACCCTTCTAGGTTCTTTTGGCTGGTCCTATAATTAAATTAACATGAGACAGATTAATAAGAGAAAATAACCAAATTAAATTACGCAGTACATAAGGGAACCCCATATACATAAGAGCCAGAGCACCTCCCCCACCATACACGAGAGGTTCAGAGACAGAAAGGTAAAATGAGGCAGAGATGACTTTCTGAGTTGAGGTAAGATGCCATGGAGCTTCAGAGTGTAGAGGAAGGTCATTCTTAGAATAAGAAGAGCAGATGTTAAGTACAGTGGGGCCTTGATTTACGAGTTTAATTCGTTCCGAGACTGAGCTCGTTAAGGAGCTCATAAACTCAAATTACTCTGTCAACTCAATGCAAAAAATCAGCCAAGAGACAGCTGGTATCTCAAAAAACTCGTTAGCCGGGACACTCGTAAGTCAAGGCCCCACTGTAATTAGAAGCTTACCCTGCCTTATAAACAGGTCATGAAAAGTTATTTCTGGTAATAACGCTTATGGGTAAGGCCCCAACTTTAAATTCTCTAAGGGAGAAATAAATGTTTCTCTTGAGTCTGCAGGGTCTCGATTGGCTTCCGCTCAAAATTATTCTGGTGCCAACGTGGCACATCTTGGGGAGGCCTGTTCTGAACCCCTGACGTTTCTCTCCAGGTATTCTGATGTCCTACTGCTAGCCTCTGAGCACCTCAGGCGGGCCTCTGGGGAGCTTCCTCTCACGTCCCCCTAAGTGGCTACCCCCAAACCTCACCATCTATCCTCATCCTCTGCCCCAAGCCTGTTTCACAAATGACCCTGAGTTTTCTTCAGTGTTCTCACCCAAAGTTAATCCTTTCTTTTTAACTTCTAAAATACCTTCCAAGTCCATCTCCACCATCACTTCCTTGCAATTTCCTTTACAAACTCTTTCCACGGCTTCCTTACTGGTCTGGTCTCTTGCTTCCTTGGTCACCACCTTCATCCTCTTCTTTCCACTGATGTTGTATCGTAAATCAGCGAGTGAGACACAGACGCCTTAATGAGCCAACTGATTAGGAGGGAGGTGTTTCTTCCAAATCTCTGAGCGAAGTCACACAGGAAGTTTCCTGCATTTATATCTTTTGAGCTTCTTTGCAGATTTTACAAAGAGCTCTGTGTGAGTTATTGTTACAGGCAGTTGGTAATCTTGGATGCATAAAGAACAAACATTTGGCATAAGAATATGGGAATTATTATCAGTATTAGTCCATTACATTAGATGGCTAGCTTGCAAGGTCAGACAGTTAAGTTTTTATCTTTTTCTGTTATTCAAACTAAAACAGTTATTTCATAGAATAAGAGACTGTCTGAAAATGACAGAGTTTACAGAACAAGGGACTATCTAACAATAGCAGAGAATTTCAAACAGCAGTTTTTATACAAGATGGAGGTTACTATGCTTCACTGCCACTGTAGAAATGTTGCCAACCCAAGATCTGGTCAGGGCCTCTATCTAAAACTGCTCAGTGGTTTTCACGTACCTATAACATAAAGTCCAAACTCCTGTGCATCTGCCTCCCTCTCCCCTCCATTCCATAGAACCTAATTTAGAACCAGTTCCAACTACTGGAGTTCTCTCTGACTGAAATGCCCTTTCTCTCTACCTACCCAGCTTATTCCCAGTCCATTAAGACTTAGCACACCCATCCCCTCCTGTATGAAGCTTTTCCTAACTACTGCTCCCTCCCACCCAGAGCTTTCTGCTCCCGCAATGCCCAGGACCAGCTTGTATTGTATGTTGCTTTGTCACTTCATAACTGTTAACTTCTTTACCAGATTGTGAGTTCCTCAAGGGTAAGAATTTTATTTTCCTCGTATTCATTTCTTTGGGGCCTTCCGTAAAAGTTGCTGGATGAATGAATGAATGAATGAATGAGAGGGCTCCATAATTAATACCAAAAGAAAGGTACATAGAGCAAATGCTGTGTCACAGAGTCCAAGGAAGGAGTGATCCTTGCTACCATGAGAGAAGGAATATAGGTGAAGTGGGTAGGGGGCCTGGTGTAAAGGCTGACAAGCAGGAATCTGGCAGTTAGAGCTGGGATTATTAGGGATCCAGCATAAGCAATAACAGTGCAAAGACAAAGTATTCTTGGCTGGCAAGAAAATGTCTTAGTTACCTATTGCTGCATAACAAGTATCCCAGAACTTAAGCTTAAAACACAAACATTGGGTGTCCCAATTTCTGAGGCTTAGGAATCCAGGAGAGTTTAGTTTGAGGTTCTGGCTCAGGGTCTGTCATGAGTTGAGAGCCAGGCTGTCGGCTGGAGCTACAGTTGATCTCAAGACTTGACTTCAGCTAGAGTGAGTGTCCAAGCCCCTCATGTAGTTGTTGGCAGGCCTCTGTTCCTCACTGATTTTTGACCACAGGTCTCAGTTCTTCACCACGTGGCCTTTGCATAGTCTGTCTGAGTATCTCGAGCACCAAGTGAACTGAAGGAGAGAGGACAACCAAGATGGAAGCTATAGTCTTATAGCCTAATCCCAAGTGATATAGTACCATTCGGCAGTAGTCTGTTGGGCATACAGACCAACCCTGGTACAGTGTAGGAGAGGAACTATATACCATGGTGTGAACACCAGGGGGTCTTTAAGAGCCTTCCTGATGGTTGACATCCACAGCTAGGTTGAATAAGACTGGGAGATTTATGGAAAAAAAGTGGAAATATTTGAAAAGTTAAATTAGGGCAAGAAAGCAGAAGGACTTAGACTAAAAAGGTAGTGTTTTGCCATTTGATGATGTAAGGAGCGGAGTTCAATGATCAAAATAGTTTATTATTTTAGTACTAATAGTAGAGTGAAGGGTAAGCTGGAGAAGGAGAAATCGTAGGCAAGGAGACCAAATAGGAAAAGATCATCTTAATCCTCCCCAGATATCAGTCTCTGAAAGAATTTTTACTCAACTGCTCCAAAATAAGGACATTGAAAGAGTGAAGTTCACAAAATTAATTGCATTTCATTTCAAGGATTGGCTTTCATTCTGAGATTATCCTTTCTACTTTTCTTATGTTAAAAATGTACTTTATTACCCCAGCTGGTTTGGCTCAGTGGATAGAGCGTCTGCCTGTGGACTGGAGGGTCCCAGGTTTGACTCTGGTCAAGGGCACATGCCGGGTTGCGGGCCCGATCCCTAGTAGGGGACGTGCAGGAGGCAGCCAATCAGTGATTCTCTCTCATCATTGACGTTTCTATCTCTCTCTCCCTCTCCCTTCCTCCCTGAAATCAATAAAAATACATTTTAAAAAATG